ACCACGCGCGCAGCGCAGTTGTCGCGAAGGCACGACTTCTACAGTGGCTAACTTGTACTGGGACGAGCATTTTGCGCGTGCTCCGCAGTGGCGTCCAGTCCGTGCGTCAACGAACCAACCATAAATCTCATGCGAGAAGGCCACCGTGACCTAGGGTAAATCCTTTCTTAGCAATCCTTCTAATCATATGTGGAGCGTTCTTAAAAATGCATTCATCATACACGGCCTCTCTCCTGGCCTTCTCGCGATAGGATTTCCTTCAAATCTCCGGCTGATGATGCAGAATGATTACACTATCTCCATTACCTAACAACATTATTCTCGTAATCGTAGAAGAATTCAAATTGGTTAACCTAATGCAAGCATCGTTTGTGAGTTTTGCAAATAGTTATTGACCGGCTAACTTTTTGATGCTAATTAGCATAGAGAATCTTGATAAACTTGTACCGCTACACTGTTTTGTGCGACGTCATAGTATACTCCCTACAACATTTGGTAACCTTTCATTAATCCATTCTAGCAGTAATAGTCGCGATATCGTTCACGATGGGATCCATCTCAAACGAAAACCTTAAAGCTAGGACTTTTTCATGTGCTTGCAATAAGCGATTTCGTTCCGCACTTTCATCGACAAAGCAATCGAGATCCCCTGCAACAAAGTCGACACGGAGATTGCTTAGACTATAGCCTGGCCTAGCAGTTGTCGTTCCGGGCGTGCCGCGACAAAATCGCAGCATTATATCCTATGTTTCGAACATAGTTATTGCTGTGCGAAAGTATCACAGACATATGTTATGCCCGCTTTTTCTGAGCAAGACGAAAGATCTGATAAAAGAAAAGGCAATGAAAAATCAGAAAAGAAGGTTGACTCAAACGTGGAGCCTCTAGAAGTGAAACATGTCGCGGATTGCGCGACTTTAGAGGACTTCGCGCCGCTATGCAAACCCCACCGCCAGTCCTCACGCTGCTCTCCCGCCCCCTCGCAGTCGCTTATAATTAACGCCAGTACAGCCAAAAAAATCCTCGTCACAAGCGTCTATGAGCGGTAGTTTCCACAGGCGTACAACAACGTCATCAATAAGATAGCGCTTCCTCGACTTATGCCTCGACTTATGCGATAGCAGGAAGGTCCACGCATGAAGAAAGGGGCTGGCAGCACTCGTGGTAACCTGGGGTAAGCCCTCGCAATGGCTCCTAGTGAGAACTTGTGATCAAATTTACTCCACCCCAATGGGTTGTTTCAAACTGCAGTCGCTGCAGCAACAACAGTCGACCGATATCTTTTGCCCGCCCCAATATGACAATTACTGCAGCAGGCGCGGTATGAAATAACTCTAATCTCTATACTCTATAAATGTTTAAGCTCTAGAGTTTTAATATACGGATAAGTGAGCGTCTGAGTGGCAATGTATAGGGGCCTGCAGGATCGCGAGAGTCGGACGTGCGTACGGCCATTGCGCCGCGCACGTCAGATGCGCGTCCGATGACTCAGGTAGGTGCCAGACTTATCCTGTTCAACAGGTTCATTCGGTTCACCACCTTTTCTATGGACAATGCAGTGATTTGACCCATGAGCCGAACGAACCGGTTGAAGCGGATGAATCTGGCACCTGCCCTAGTGACATCAGACGTGCGCGGCGCAATGGCCGTACGCACGTCCGACTCTCGCGATCCTGCAGGCCCCTATACTGACTGATGCGGTGAGCTAAGGCACGGTCAAGCTCCGATTCCATTTCGTAATCGGTATGTCATCATTATAATCTAGTCTAGAATGTTCCATGTGAAGACGGGCACGATGTGCGCTAGTACCTTAGATTATGACGAGTCCCAGGTGCTAGACAGCCCGGGCCAAGAGCTTCTAGGTGATAAGTGTCTAAAGTATGGCAGACCTAATCAGCATTCCCGCAAGCGTCGCCACCCATCTCGCCTACGTTGGACCCCTTCACGGAGTGGCTAGCAGGGCCCGGCACGCGTTGGTTTGGAGCATTTTTGGAAACGAAGTCCCCTATGAATTCGCGAAAATTTACGAAGTCCCTTTTGACGTAAAAGTCGGTAGGGAAACCCTTGTTCAATCAACATAACAAAACATAACGATAAAAAAAGCGAAAAAAGGGAGTTTTGAGGTACCTAATTTAACAAAAAAGCAAAAAAAAACAGTCGATTTAATTCTTGAGTATGGTACCATTTTAGGGGAAACGGTAAGAGGCGCGATTTCTCCACCTGTCACCAACTCAAAACTTCAGGTTAGTGCTATGCGAGTCTCCAAAAAGCCAAATGAAGTGCATTAGCTTACTATCTGTTTACGGTTACCATTTGCTAAATTTGGGGGCTTTTGCTGGAAAACGGACCGAAACACTCACGAATTTGTTATTAACTGCATTTTCATGGGTTTTTGACCTTCAAAATTGCTGTTTTGAATTGATTCTAAGGTAGCAAGATTGAGGAACCTATGCAACTATCTAATACATCTCCTTCTAAAATTTGAATACTTTTAGAATGTTGTGAATCGCTTATTATGCGCTACTTGATGTCCATCTAGCAATAAAAATCGCGCCTTTGGACATATACCCCAATTTTAGTGTTCAAAACTTGAAAACCTCTCAGGCCACCAAATCTGTGACCTCAACAATCTGATGCATTTTTCGCCACCTAGTTCAAAGGACATCGCATGTGATTGGAGCGCGATATCTATCATGCTTTGGTTTACACTTTTGTTGGCTCAAAAGAATAGGAAAAGCAGTGGTTTGATACGCTTTCTTCGCTATATGATAGTTGGAGCTTTCTCTTCATCCAAATCAAAAAGGTCCGAAACTTATGTGAACTCTCCGATATTTATCCTCCGAACCAACCCAGTTGGTTTGGTGTTGGTCTAGAAACCAACAAATTCGGGAAGGTATTAGGACACAAGTTTTTAAAACTTTTTACATAATGTTGTTTGTAATATTGTATATACATAGCCCAAATTCGGCGTCAGATTGTTAGTGCGCTGTAAAGAAGCCATCTGTATGTTTGGGTCTTACGTTTAAAATTCGCGCGCTTGCCAAAGAACACGTTCAACTCGTATAACCTGACACGTTTGTCGATTTTTCTGGTGCTTCATCCAGGACCATATAAAAACGATATCCCCGTTGCTTCTAACCTCAAAAACGAGGCCCACTTTGACCTCGAACCATCTGTGCCGGGCCCTGGTGGCTATCTGGCTCCTGTTTGCCGGTGCAGGAAAGCGCTATCCAATTACGTAGGAAACTGCGGCCCAATCTGAACGAGAGCATCACTTCACTTAGAAAAAATGAGGGAAATATAACGCTAATGCGAGAAGGATGCAACACAACTAGCGATAAGTTAAGCAGCCCCATTCAGTGAACGCTCTATTGACCAATTAATTCTTCAAACAGCTGGACTTTCATAGGCTAAAATGTGAACCACTCACTTGTGGGCGAATGACTTGAAAATTGATGATATCCGTGCGCAGGAGTGTAGCATCGGGGACATTCCTTTCGAGTCCACACCTTTCTAATAAGGGAAGAATTCTTGGTCGAAGTGGAGATTCCATATGAAATGCATAGTCTTTCAAGCCACGGAACGCTGATTTCAAATCTGCTTTCGCTATCTGCAAAGCGCTACCGAGAGGAGAGTTACGAGAATTTTTAGAGACAAAAATTCAAGTGTCTGGTTAACAAGGAAACGATACTCGGTGTTCGTGGCCTTTTGAGACGAGACGTATACCATTACACTCGCCTCTGAACGCCGATTTCGAGTCTGACTTTCGTTTCTGCTAATCGCTTCTTTGTAAGAAGCGATTCTCGCGCCAAGTTTGGCCTCTTAAGGTACTACGATAGGAACGCCGATCGTACGGTACGCTGTGCTGTAGAAGTTAATGCGATAGCCTCACAAGTTCATGCAGGTACAGGTTTGACTCCTTTTGTGTCTTTCTTGCCCCAAATAAACTCAAGATAAATGTGCTTGCTCTTACCTTTCGAAAAATGTAGAAATTAGGAAAAATGATTACTATTTGCGCTAAAATGTATCCACTGATCACAATTCAAGCAAATTACTAGAACCTAAAGTGCGTTCATAATCATTTTTATAAATTCTCCTTTTGAATACACTTATAGTACAAAAACGACTCCTCGTTGAATTTTCAAAGAGTAAGTGCATGCATTTACTCGAGGAAACCTAGCTTTCAAAAAGAAGCTTTGAGGCAATGCAAGACTGGTAAAAAGGATTCAAATCTACAGCTGCATCGACTTGTGAGGCTATCGCACGGTATACATCTCATTTTAAAAGGCCACGGACAGTATCGTTCCCTTGTAAAGCAAAACCGGTGTTGAGGTCTTTCCGACGCTTGAAAGAAGTAATGACTAGCCTAGATGTATTAGACTAAAGGTATTAATTGCATAAGACGCCGCGGCAGTAATCACGGTCCCATTTGAGCTCACAGATTAAAATCCTGGATGACGTTGTCATAGCCGTGCTTTCACATTTTTGCTGCAAAAAATTACCATAACCTTCCTCCCAGAAGCGCCTTGCAGATATCGATAGCAGACTCGGAATCAGCGTTCCATGCTTCACAAGACAGTACACATTTTATTCGGAAATGCCACTTCAATAAAGTATCCTTCCTTTGTAAGTTCTTTAGTGTACGGCTCAGCTGCTCCGTTTTTCTATAGAAGCAGACCGAATGCATCAAAGTTCCCCCTGCTTCACACCGTAATCTCATTCACGGCCCAGTCCACGTCATCCTGCATACCAAAAAAAAATTTCGGAGTGTGTGGCATCAGCCACACACCTTCACCGAAAATTTTTGTCCCCCTCCCCCCCCCCCCCCCCAAATCGAATCCAGAGTATGCTACTGCTTTGTCCACAAAACCAGTATCCCCTGTTGTCAGTGACCGAACTATGGAAAACTTATAGACTCAAAGCGAACTTCTGCTAGTGCTTTTTTTGCTACGATCCAATCACATCGCACGCCGAGCACTTCATGTACGGTTAATTAATTTAATTTTATAGAAATTTTATTATATTATGATCAAAAACAACTTAGACATCAAACTTTCGATAACAGAACCGGTACATCAGGGAGCGAATGAGAAGAAGAAGGTAGAAAACTCAAACATTCAAATATAACATCGGCGAAACATCGATGGCATCTCTACTACAAGTGATGCTATCATGGCTCTATAGCTCAACAAACAGTATATAACGACAAGACGGCGACGAAACGGCTGGAGCAATGGCGTCACAGCAACATTTCATACTTTGGAATACCTATCTGTGTATAAATGCGTGTACGGGGTGTGGCGTGTGATGACGATGGTGAGCTGGCGATCAGGCGACGCTGGCATAGCATGGGCGTAAGCTACTTCACGCATCCTTCTCCTTCTGGCTATTTCTCTCAATCACATCCTGCTAACAAAAACAAACAATGGAAAGCTCCAGGATATACACGAAACGATGCAGAAAAACAGAACTTCGACCATAAGAGAAAAAGGGAAACAATGAAGAACATTTCTAAACACTGAATTTTTAAAGTTGTAAGTGTCAGACAATGTCAAGAAATGTTAGAAGCTGCTATCAGAAAACACGCACACATCGACAAGAGAACACCGTACTCCTGAAGGCGATACAAATATGTGTAAATTGGTGAAATAAAAGCAAAATGACATTAACGAAGAGAAGTATGATGTCAAGTCATTCTTTTGCTCTCTTATGATGACAGACAACGTAATTCACTGTCTAAGATGATGTGTGATATCGAAAATAACGTAAGCCACATATGATAAGGGCAGAAAAATAAAGAATAGCCGTGAAGTGAACATTCACTACCCTTCATAATTACGACGTTGCCAACGCATATACGTACACAACTACCAGCATATTCTTCGTTTCCCAACGATACTGCCACGACTCTGAATATTATATTTTCCAAAGAGCAAGAGTATACGCTGATTAAAATTTACGTGAAACGACTATCAAATGCGTGAAACAACCGAAATCAGTCGCCATTTGTTTTACGTCGAAAAAATACGAAAGTTGCATATGCACTTCCACAAAAACACGAAAATTACCCTTACTTTGATCCTAAGTTTGCGTGTAAGCCGCATACAAAATCAATAAAGTGTTTTGCTCTATTTTCCACGTAATCTGCAGCACGCAACAACAGAAGTGTGAGCCCATGCGGTCTCGAAGGATGAAACTTTTTTCTCATAAAAAGTTGCGACAGACACTACCACTTTCGGTACAAGCTATGTGGTAAGATCCGCGTACAATTTAATATTTAAAAAAATAAAAACCCGAAAAATCAAATGAAAATCAATATCGAGATGTGTAAATTAGGGAAAGATACACAAGTTAAACTTAGAACACATCTTGAGTAATGGCTTACGATCAGTGGCCTTGTTCCAGTACGAAATTGTGCTTACATTCATACCAGTGCCATTACCAATTTGCAGAAGGGAAGAATTCACTGCAAGTAGATCGTACAAAGAAAGAAGCAGTATGATTTCACATATAAAAATGGTGGAGAGGTAACAAGCTTACCAATATATTTATAGGGTCGGTTCAATGCCACGAGCCTTTTCGTTATCTGCTCGACAGCCTGCTTATTCCAGTTAAGGCTGTCGGCATAATTATATGGGCTGAGGCCGATCACTTCATCAAGTACCTAAATACCTACATTGAAGCTATGATCATGGCATCCACATAATTACATTAAGAGACTAGTCACAGGAAGCAAAGCAATATTTTACAGTAAGAAGTGAATGCGAAAATTTTCCAACAAAAAAATGAAAAAAGTAAGACATGAATCATAAAAAGGCAAAGGCAGTGAAAAACGAAAAAATCTAATAAAAAGAGCAGTAAAAAAGCAACATCACCAACCTGTTTGATTATACCCTGCACTTCTTCCTGTGTGAAAGAGTTTTTCACATCAGCCATAGTACAGCCCAGATTCTTCCACAGCCAAACTAGACAGATGAACTTGGGGAGTAAGCAACTCCAACAGATGCTAAGGTAAAACGGCTGACGTAAAGACAGTGTCTTGCATATCACACATGCTTTTTGAAAAACTTTACTGCACTATACACTAACAACAAAACTTTATAGGTAGGTACGTTAACAAAATATGCGACGAATCTCGTATGGCATAGAGCATATGGTGTGGATAGTGTCAAAAAAAAGGAAAGGAATGGCTTGAATGACTCGAGATATCTTCTGACTAAACTGAGATAAAGTGGAAATCAATTCAACATATCAGTGAGGTTTAATTCATATTATACTATTTCAATAGACCCCTACGTCTAAATCTACTTGTTTCTTCCTCCAAAATTAGCCTTCAGGTTCGTAGTCCACATGCGTCAACAAAGCGCTCAAGTTGGTTGCGAGCTCCTTAGTGCCTGCGCATAGCACCTTACGTGCCATGACATGGAACGGCTTTCCTGAAAAAATGGTTTAGCGAGTGCTAAAAACTTTTACGAAGACTGTGTTTTTTCTTTATGATAATATGCATCAAAATCAAAGAGGATGACAAGGCATAGAATTTAGATATTCTCAAGGCAATGTCATAGCAATTTTATCTTCCCTTTCCAAAGCAATATGATTGAGGAAGACAATAAAACGCTGAAAACGATGTTAATTTGCATACAAAGCAAGCGCTTCTGTACTACTATACATGGCAACATCCTAACAGAGGCATAAGAAAACTGCAGTTTACGTAGCTGTCAAATCTCTCAATGCGATATTGACTTCAAGATCAGCTATAAGTAAAAACTTCTAACAAGGGGTAGTCACGGAGTCGAAGTTGCCAACGCTACGAATTTTGAGGGCTTAGATGCTAATTTCAGATCTGCTTCCGGAACGGGTTATGAGCGATTTTTGAGGCCAAAAAATGCATTGATGGAATGGAAATTGAGTAAAAAATCATCACAGACTTCCTAAACGTCAAATGAAGAAATAGGAAGTGCTGATATACTAGGCAGTGTGTTCATTATGTAGTGTAAACTTGCTGCTGTTTCATTTAAGGTCTAGAGAGACTGTGGCGATTCATCGTCCCTCAAAGTAATTTAGGGTAAGTATTCCTAACAGCTTTCCATTCCTTTAGCAGCAATTCTTTTTGCTCTTCTACTGCAGACACAAACTGCATAATGTCAACCTGTAGTGCATTGTAGTATGAGCAGAGCTCTTCCGCATGTCAAAAGCTTCGCCATTTCATTTTATGGGCAGTTCGAACAATGACAGCTGCGCCTGATCTGACGACGAGAAGCGTGGGAAGATGGAAAGCATGTCTCTCCTAGACTGTCTTGCATATATTTGCACAACTGATAGTGTACGTTATCGATTATGATGCTACCTAGACTGAGTTGCTCAGAAGACAAGATATCAGTGGCAAAAAACAATACATTAAGCGATTAGGAACCTAGAGCTTCTTTTGGCTTTTCTTTGTAAGCCGATAATATAAACACAACAAAATACTCGATAGAAATTCTGGAAAAACGGTGTTAGCCTTTCTTGAAGTGAATCGCATTCGCTGGTAATGGATGTTGAGATAAATTTTTACATGACTGTTCTGATTCTATCGTATGAACTTGTAGCTTCAAAAAAAAAACTGGTCCGAATCTTTAGACTGTAAACAATCTCAGACCAAAGAGATTTTTCAATACTTCCACTTTGACCAGCACCCCATCGCAATTCAGAGCTTTTGCGCGTTTTTTTCCATCGTTAGACTTCCTAGAGCGTAGCTTGAAGAGCGGGAAAAAGTGATTGTTCAACTTCAGCTATACGGAGATTGATGCAGTCTAGCCGAGAGCACGAACAATGTTTGCAATGATCTCAGTCACTAATGCATGTACGATTCCTCTTCTTTATCGACTGAACAAATGGTGCACACAATGAGATGTAACAAACCGACAAAAACTCCTGCATGCAACAACACAGCATTCGCGCGTTTGAAAGTTCTCGTACTATTACTAATCAGTTTTATCAAAAATTGAACTCCAAACAACATCGGGGAATTTGTGCTTGTTTTAGACCCGCCAAGTATCACAAATGAAGTTTACCGAAATCAAAATGCAATAGAGTGAGTCATTGTCGAACAGATTAAGAAAAAAAGGAGCACTGATACCAGTCATCCGTCACTATCTGGTATTTTCATAGAACGCGGAAGTGCAAGGGTAACAATGAGAAATGTTTTGTTGTCGTATGTTCAGAATCTGACAACGGAATTCTACGACATTTGGTTTGTCAGTGACGTTCGGCTAGAAGAGATGAATAAAAAAAAAAGAAATTCTTGCGGATTTACGTCGTCTAAGATAACATTATAGAGGCGATACGTTTATACGAAGAGAAACGAAAAAAAGTTTCCTTTCAAGGAAATGAAACCGCAGCTTCGAAAAAGACCGGATAATCATCTCAAGATCGAAAAAGAAGACTTGTAAAATCAATAAGTCATGAATTCAACAGAAGAGAACTTACTGATCCCTGACAAACTAAAACTCAAACTCCATGCATAGTTCATTTTCAAAGAGCTCACTACTGACAGAGAATTTATTCTCTGAGCAGCAGGCTAGATACAACTTTAGAGGAACATACTATATGCACTGAAACTGCTGGTAGCAGGAATGCAGGTCGTCAAGACCATTGAATTACAAATTAGTCATAGGACCGCTTGAGCGCCGAGAAGAATGAGAAGATTCCAGAATATGATCGATAACTGTCGGCAGAACTGTTCAGAAAAAACAGACAACTGTGCTAACCCCTAAATAACGACAAATGCCAAATGGATTAAGAGATAGGTCCCGAATGCTGTACATGTGTTGCGCGAGGCACATTTTCATTTGATAATATGTCAAATCATTACCTTTCAAGGTGAACCGATAGAGATGAAATGTAAAAATGAACGTAAAAAACATACCTGTCGGATCAATAAGAACGCCCCCCGCTTCGCTTATGATCACAGCTGCAGCTGCAACATCCCAAGAATGAAGACCGTACTCAAAATACGCATCACAAGCACCCTGTGCTACCATCACCATATTAATAGCTGCCGAACCGAATGCACGGTGCCTGGAACACAGTATTGTGAATACTACTGCAAGAAATTCTACTGACAAGGGGCGGACCCAGAGTCGAAATTGCGAAATGTGGTAAGCTATATATCATCTAAATCAGCGTGAGACGCTGATTTCAAATCTGTATCCTCTACCTGCCAAGCGGTTCTCTAAAAGGAGTTATGAACCTCGGTTTCTCGCTGACATGTCAAGTTTCGTTAAGTAGGATCCGCACCTGAAAACCAGGTGTGGTCGTTTGGTGTAGTGGATAAGCGCGGAGCCTATGGAGCAGATGCTCGAGGGTTCGAACCCTTTTCCTGTCCAACATTTTTGCAAGCTAAGAATATGTTTGTTTTGCGCTGTAAAGTATCCCGCGCACATGTACGGACTTCAGATCATAATCTACTGCTGAAAAGTTGGGTTTGCAACTTTTTTTTCACCAAGGTTTTAGCCGCTGGATCCGTATCTGCAGGATCCGAATTCTTTCAGGAGGTAAGATACCACCAACTGTGCCGAAAACATTGAGCAAGAAGTAAAGCTCCTTCTTGTCAAACTCATATATCCATATATGACCAATTTCTTGTTCAACATGTTCACGTTCCCGTCTCAAAAGATTAGCAACTCTGCAGGTCAATAAATTTTTCATGTGTTTACCTCTGCTTTTAGATTTAGGCATAAAAAATCTTGCTCAAATACTGCTTCAAATTCCATATTTTATATTGAGGGCAGGCAAACTAGCACATTGTCGCACACATACACTAGATTTGATTCCATTGACTGTCATCCCAGCGGCTAAAACCTTGGTGAAAGAAAAATTGTGAAAATCCCAACTTTTCAGCAGTAGAATATGATCTGAAGTCCGTACATGTGCGCGGGATACCCCTTATAGCGCAAAACAAACATATTCTTAACTTGCAAAAATGTTAAACGGGAAAAGGATTCAAACCCTCGACCATCTGCTCCATAGGCTCCGCGCTTATCCACTACACCAAACGACCACACCTGGTTTTCAGGTGCGGATCCTACTTAACGAAACTTGACATGTCAGCGAGCAACCGAGGCTCATAACTCTTTTTAGAGAACCGCTTGGCAGATAATGGATACAAATTTGAAATCAACGTCTCACGCTGATTCAGATGATATATAGCTTACCTCATTTCGTGCTTTCGACTCTGGGTCTGCCCCTTGTGAGTGAGATCTAAAAGATGATGTTATACCAAAGAGAAGTTCTACACATACATACAGAAGAATTTCTACATATATATTGAATTTGACTTAGAAAGTAGTTTGGCTAGACAAACTCATGCTCCTAGGAGGTTATCACGCAGTATCTTACACCATTAGGATGACAAGATCTAATTTTTATAGAGGAAACAGTTCCGATATTCCGTTTCAACATTTTGGCAGATCCCATCTGAACAAGTCTAACCGTTCTTCGGCATTCTTTGCTCAAGAACTTTCAATATATAAGTCAGCTACCCCGATAAATCTACTGAACTGTGCGTAGCTCGAAAAAAAAATATATATATAGCGCTTCAAACTAAAGTTCTGCAACAGATTTCAAGTTTTTAGAGGCAAGCGCGCAGTCAACTACTATGCACATGCGAATGCTGTAGTGTTCCAGCAGAAACATGCGATTAGTCACGAGCACGCTCCACATACCCTTTCAAACACATTAATATTTACCCATGACAATTTTGGTCGCTCATCATTGTCTTATAAGATTCGATAAACGAACGCATCATTTCCGGTTGACGATGTGAGCCAAGCTGTGAGATCACTACACTCTCGGCAACGGCTGAAACGATAGGGGCACAATTAGAGGATGCGTCTAAGTGCTGAGAAAATTTGAAAGCACTCTACATGCTTCACTGGACAATTGATATCAAAGGGTACGAGGGGCACATATATTAGATAGTGTAAAAACAGAAATGATGTACAACAAGACGAGACATCGGTGTAGCACTAGTGAGAAGCCCGCCAACTGCAAAAAATTTGTAAAGCTCAGCTAGATGAAAAGAGCAAAATGCTCTACCAACCCAAGTCGAACACCTCAACTATTATAAAATCAGTTCGTTTGCGAGATGCAAAGGAGAAACCAAGAAAGCCACGCAGAAACTACAGCAAATAGGAACTTCCAGCTCATCATACTTTTGCGTTAGTCGCATGTAAACTATTACAAAAAGCTCAAAGTTAACAAACCACCCACCCCCTGATACCGGCCTCAACCGTACGCCGCATATTGCTCTGAGCGATGTCCAACCATTTTTCACCAAATGTCGTCAGATTATGGATTCCCATCGACTCCGTTATGATAGAACGACCCAACTCTGCAGCCGAGAAGCGTTACAAGCTCTCCATTACAAATTATTGAAAAACAGATGCATTCTATGACAGCATACACTCCAACTGACGAAAAAAATGAATAAGAGCTGATAAAACATGATAGAAAAAAGGCTCCAGATTTGTCTCCCACTTCTTCCTATAACATTCTCACTAAAAATCAGTTGCGGCTTTCAAACTAGACAATATTCCCACAAACGTCAGCATGAACTGATTTTTCAAGCACCACACTAATGTCCGCAATCGTATACCAGCCATGAGCGAGAAAGCGCCAACATGTGTCAAATTCATCGAAGAATCCTCTATGTGCAGCACTGACTGGTGTTTAAAGCCAAAATGGTCATATGTGACCAAAATGCTGCATACGAAGTAAACATTAGTTTGATTGAGTAGAATGAATGTATGAATTTATCAAAGCAGCGAAATCTAAGCAACCGAAAGTCCAATTCCTATACAGGGTGTCCCAAAAAGATGTGCACACTGTTTGATCGTTAATAACTCCCTTGCTTTCATGTCTTTTGTCGAGCTTAAAGTACCATTCTATAGAGCGAGGTTCAAATTAGATTTGCAGAATGGAGTGAATCATCGATTGCTCTTCATTACTGTAGGATTACGGTAGGAACTTCGAAGAGGGTTTTAAGCCATTAAAGGGCGCAATTTGCCTCAGAAAGAAAGCCAAACAAGCCAGAAACTCTCACACTGGGCTAATTGAAGGTGCTGATTCTAAATATGAAGTTTGCACTTTAGTATAGTGCTTCTTTCATAAGCTATTTCAGATTTCGAGTAAAACTGTTTTCTCAATGTCCCTCAAAAATGTGAATACGCGAACAAGAAAGTTCAAAAAAATGATGGAAAGTTATGTACTGAAATCAGCACGCCTGAAAACCTTAATACACAGATTTTCAGATTTTTTTTTTGAAATTATTTTATCACAAGGCCTATTCCACAGTGACGTGTATGTTGGAAGTTCATACCGTAACCCTACAGTAATGAAAAGTGATTGGTGTTTTGCTCCACAATGCAAATCTAAGTTGAACCTCGCTCTACAGAATGGTACCTTGAACTCGGCAAAAAACCTGAAAGCAAGAGAGTTATTAATGATCAAACAGTGTGCACATCTTTTTGGGACACTCTGTATGCCAGTGAAGAGCGCGAGTACATATTCATGTACTGATCAAAATTTTCACCTTAACATCATAGTATTACAGAGAGGCTAGATAAGCAAATTTCCATGATAGGGTTAGAAGGACGCTCTCTCCCGCAAGAACATTATTGTGCATGCTTGACTGCGATACTTGGTTCGAAAACCCTAATGATAAAACGGCGACTGCTACATACTAGAAGTAATTTAGCATATTGGAACCAGTCTGTGATCACTTAGAGTTACTTCTGGCTGCCAGAAACAAATTTGAGTGGGTACTGGGAATGCATTCCGGACAACATGCCAGCATTCAACAACCATACCATGCAGAAGCAGATAGCAGGCTGTGGATGTGTGTTACAAAACACATTAAAAAAAGAAAAAAGTAATTGATAATGTAAAACATGCAAAATTTGAGTACTCACCTTTGGTATTAGATACGTGAATCGGGAAGCCATTCTTGAACGCGCCACAACCGACCTACAACTTTGGTATAGAACGATGCAGGAAGGCAAATGTAAAAAAGCACCAAATATCGATTGAGACGAACCTGCGCCGTGAACAGCTCATACGTTATTGGATTATACACTATTCCTGCCCGTAGCTCCTTATTTATGGCCAGACCAACGCAAATAGCAATGAGAGGAATTCTTGAAAAATCGATATTGTGTGGACGCAGTGTGCTAATGCGTGACAATTCAAAAAGATTGCTTGCGATTAAATCATACTCGAACAATCTAAATAGAGCGAGAAATGGTCTTATGATTTTAAGTGCAGCTACTACACATTTTCTAAAGTAACGCGTGCTTATAGCCTTGCTCTTCAATGAAAAAAGCGATAGAAAAGAGTGCAAAAAAGCAAAACTTGTTTTTAAATCAAGCGAACTGCAAAAAATCAATTCCAGAAGAGGCAGGTGGCAGTGGAAAAAGATTCCAAAGGAAAAAAACGAGTGGCAAAAGATTCCAGAGGAAAAAAAAACGATCTGTGGCACTAACATTTCATAATACACGATAAGGGTAAAAACGGCTACCGCCCAACTAGGGTAAAAGTGGTATAGCAATTTTCAACCGAATATACATTGAAAATATTGATGTAAACTAACGCACCGATGCACAAAATTTGTAGTGCCATCTATAGGATCGATAATCCATGTCGGTGCATTCGTCCACTCTATTTTTGCCCCACCTGCAGTCGACTCTTCACCAATAAACCTCAAAAACACTTCATGAGAACTTCGTAAAGGGTGAAAAGGTGGATAGAAAATGACGATACGCTGACTTGTGATCTGGAAAAGCCTTCCTCAATCCTTCTATTAACAGTTTCTCCACAGCTTGATCAGTTTCCGTCACCAAATCAGTGGCAGACGCTTTGGTCTTCACTATACTTACTGGCTGATCGAATGCATCACGAACAAGCTGTAAACCATTTACTTGCTGGCAACCAAATTCGAAAAGAATTTTCACAAAGAATAAAAACAAATTACAAAGTCATGTATGATCGGCTCCCAGATTAGTGTAGAACGAGTTCAGACTTTCCCTGATTATGAGGATGAGCTTAATGCGAGTAGGAAAAACAATGCCGTAACGCGGATGTTTTACTAGTTTATCCTTAAAATCACGGAAAGTCCGCAACCGCCCCACTCGAATCTGGGAGCCGATGACAGTAGATAATGAGCAACTCTCCAAAATTATAAAATACGTTATACGCGCGTGAGCATTAATAGAACGATAGATACCCTTTGGGGATGAGATCAACATCACTTTTAAAAATAAAGCTGATTTGTTTGTTTGTCTGTCTGTTGTGTGTGTACCTATGATCCTCATAGATTTTATTTCTGAATCGATCCGGACCAGACTTACACATACTTCGGGGCGGGGCAAGTGTCGCAGGCTACTTATCGCCATTTAGCGATACCGATTTTATCGACTTTTTGCAAAGCTTCATCTGCGAGACTGGGAGCTGGCAGGGAGACGGTCAAGAGGCGCGATTTCTATAGAGATAACCAACTTAACAGCCCCATTTAGAGATATGCGAGTCTTTAAATGTACCAGGCAAAATGCTCTGGCTTGCTAACTATCTGGTGCTACCACTTGCTAAGTTTGACTGTTTTTGGTGAAAATCTGATTGAAATTTTCATGAAAACGATTAGGTGCTTTTGCACAGGCTTTTGATCTCCAATACTTATTTTCGAAATCTAGTTCAAAATGATAAGATCAAGATCATACATAACTTGTTAGATATATGAATTGCTCTTAAAACATGGTAAATTACACAAAAAGGCTAAGTATCGTCCATCTGCGATAAAAATTGCACCTCTTGACATACACCTAAGCTAGCACTGATTACGAAATTACTATAGAGCCAGGCGGAGCCGGGTTTGTGCTCTAGTGCCAGCTAGTGACTCTCAAAACCTACAATCTATCGTTCAACTGAAAAATGAGATAAGCCTAATGATCGATTAATAGAAGACTTTGATGAGGAAAAGAAAGAAGATAGAGCAGTAAGTCCTCATCAGTAGAGTATCTCGACGCAACGCACACAGTGCTATCACAGACTCTTTTTTATTGGAGCGCAATTCGAAGATAAGCAAAAGAATTCTTTGATGCGATTTTACCACCTGGTCTAATGTAGAGATAAGTGCAAGTCAATAAAATCTCAGCAGTGATTTTTACGTTTTGCTCTTTGTTTACACAATTGATAAGCCAACTGGCCAAAAATACTCCCAAGTACAAAATGAAGCACTATAAGCACTAAGAACAGAAAAAATTGATAATATCGAAGAATTGTAGATGGGAGACAACTCACCCTTCCAGCCGACTTTACCAGCTCCAATGCTGTATCGACAAACTTCTGCTCATCAGGGTGAACCGGTACAAACACCATCTGAAATGAGCTGCTTTCATTTTTGAGACTCACACACCGGGTTATCAGTTGTTAAACTGACGCTGACGATATATTGACAAATGACTGACTACGTGCGAGACGAAACACATTCATTACTGAGGTAAGCTCTTGCGCGTTCTTTGGCTGATTGCAGAAAAAAAAACAATGTTTGTAATTTGTACAAAAACAAACTAGAACTAGCAAACATAACGCAAAGGTTCTGCTGCATTCACTAGGGGTGGTAATGGGTTTGACACAATGCTAAAAATCTTTCGAATGCGCCCCCGCTTCTATTGTGAAAGCTAAACTCAAAGAATGGCCAGGCGAAACTTGAAAGGCGTGCTAGTACTTTTCCACTTTTCGTTCTAGAAGCTTATTTGTAAAAGAAAAATTATTTCAAAGAAAAAACATACTGTTCAAGCACGAAATAGAGGTTTGTTGAGTAAATAATGCCTAAGTATTTGAGACAGAATAAAAAACCAAATGCCAGAGATAAGACGAACAAAAGCGCTAACAAAGAATTCAAGGAATTTGTTTTTGATAGCGGAACGTCGACAAATCGACTGCAAGCTACCGATGATATGTTCCTCACATCATCGACATTTTTCAACGTTTGTAAAAAAAACTAAATTGGGCTTTATACAGGGTGTCCCAAAAGTATGTATACACTGTTTGATCATTAATATCTCCCATCCCTAGAAGTCTTTTGCCTGCCTTCAGGTACCATTTTGTAAAGCAGCCTTCGACTTAGATTCGCAGCATGGAGCGAACTAATTATCTTCGTTTAGTACTGTAGGATTATGGTAGGGATTTTAAGAAGGGTTTCAAAACATTGAGAGCCCTATTTCGCCTTAGAAAGCAAACCAAACAATTTAAAAACTCTTACGCTAGGCTAATTGAAGTCGCTAAAACCAAATATGAAGTTTGCATTTGACCCCAATGCTTCCTTCATGACTTATGCCCTTTAAACCATAATTGCTGTTTTTGCAATCCTCCCTAAAATTGCAATCACACCCTTTGAAAAGCTTTGCAACCCCTAGAAAGTTGAGTACTGGAATCAGTGCACGTAAAATCCCTGGTACACCACTATTCAGAATTTTCTGAAAACTTTCTGAAACAAGACTGCTCCACAATGACGCTGTAAGCCAAAAGTTCCTACCATAATCCTACAGTATCGAAGGGCGATCGGTGGTTTGTTGTATACTGCAAATCTAAGTTGAAGCCAGCTCTACAAAAAGGGCCCTTAACGTGGTAAAAGACTCCTTGGGAAGAGATATTAACGATCAAACAGTATATACATACTTTTGGGACACCTTGTATATGGTGCTACCTAGTGACAGCCTTTCAAAAGCTGATGTGGACTTTATTAGTCAGATATCATTACCTCAGTAAAACACAAGAACTTAATTTCTGAAATGTCAGTCAACTGTCAACTTGTAGTGACATGAATTCATCTGTCGCTACAAACTACTGAACCGGGACTGAATGAGCAACGCCTAGAGGCAGACGCATAAAAAACATGCAGCAAAGCATTGTCGTTCGAATTTGACTGGCTACTAATTGAAAAAAAAACAGTTCAAAAACGAAAGTGGAGAAAAAAGACTGAAACTAAATGTGCATGGCTATAGCAGTATTCCTTCGATTTTAGATATGATATAATGCACGTTTCAAGACTTGCAAGCATTTCTAAACATTGCGGCCGTACTTCTAAGTTTGAAGACCTTTCAAAAAAAAGACAGCATAAACTCAAAACAAAAAAGGCAGCAAAAACCAAAACAAGATTTCTTTTAGAAAAGACAAAATGAAAAAGAAAACCAAATCAAAAGCGCCAACACGTTTGTCTAGTAGTTAACTCCAAGAAAATGATAACCCACCTGCTTCCAACCTTTGCAAAGATTCCAGTAATAGAAATTTACTGACCACTGGCCTATGCATGTCAAATTCCAAGATTTTCATCAATAATTCAAAAAGTTTTTGGGGAAGCACAAACAGAAACTGGAAAAAGTAAAAAACTTGCTGGCACGACATTATATCGGATCTGCTACGGGGCTAGCGCGAGCCCGTGGTCAGCTCGTCGGATTGACGTCTTCGCGGCAGATGCGCGAAATTCAAAGACTTAATTTCAACCAGGGAGCCTTTCAGCAAGGATTAATGGGTAATTGAGGGGTAAAAAAGGGGAGAAAGTATTTAGGCAGAGGAGAATGTAAGATCGTTCCCATCAATATAAATATAGCGCTAAAGATTCATGGCCTTGTCTTCACCGGAAAATCCCGCTTGCTTCAAGGTCAAAGCTGAAAATTAGATAATTGCTCGATTAGTGCAGCAAACGCGATAGAAAATTGATTTAGCCAAAGGTGAAGAACATAAGGGTGGACTCGAGAAGTGGAGAGCTCAGGCCGTGTGTCACTAAATCGATATCGGCCAACACCACGCCACACTCACTTACGTCAGCCGAACTCCCACCAGTCGGACAGGCTGCCTTGCATTGCAAAGACAGAGAATATGAGAACAGGCTCATTCTTACACGTGCCTGGATTCTCCGTTCAAAGGCATCGTCCACCCAAAGATGGTGAGAATGGTGAGATTCTAATGTTTGATGATAGCGGAGCCTCTAACTTGGTAATTTCTCAAATCCCGCTGCATAAGGTGAATTCCCAAGCGAGAAAATCGCTCCAGAAGGTAGAAGCGGCCAAGGTGGCTCCGCCCATCAAACGTGAGCTTCAGAGTGGGCAGAAATGTCGAAACCCTATTAATCATGATAAAGAATGGACTCACTACATTCTAAACACTCAGAGCCCAATCGTGGACTTGTTCTCTTTAGACCACCCGTTGATGGGCGGGGCTACCTCGGTCACTTCTACCTTCTGGAGCAATTTTCTCGCTTCAGAATCTATCTTTTGCAGCGGGACTTGGGCGATTATCTAGTTGAGAGCACCACTATTATAAGCATAAAAATCTCATCATTCTCAATCTGGGTGGACGCTGCCTTTGAGTTTAGAGTTTGCAAGATCCCAACATTCACGATATCTCAAAAAACTGGTAAACGAAACAGCAGTTTTTGGTTGCATTTCCCTTGAGTATCGAAGCAGACAAAGTGGTTAATTATAGTGACCTGCATAATAATTTTCAACGCAATGGTGCTTTATACCCACAAGAAATGAAGCGATGTGATTGCCTCAAACCACTTTCTTGAAATTCCAGCACATTAAGCCACATTCAAGCGGCATCCCCAGCATTTGTGACGTAAAATCAAGTATAAATGTGCAACTTAAGCAAAAACAGACGCGGCGGATTCTTGAAACTAAGATGCGCGATGTGTAGTTTTTCCAAGTCTGCGACGAACATGTGCTGCATATCGTTACCATTTATTTTGCCAAACAACAATGCTTTGACGTAAGCATTGCAATATAGTCCAGTAGTTCAGCGGATGATATAGTGTTCTTACGTAAATGACAACAATGGCGCGTAAAAAATGGCCGCCATCGCGATACACGCAAGCCACAGTGAAGATACTACTTGGATAAATCTGACTTCAGCATAAGAATACGATGCTTTTGAATGGCAGAGAACTAGACGAACCTTATGAATACAGCGAGTAGAGAAGAGTTGTTTTTGTAAGACCCTTTGCGAAAGTCGCCTCACGCACACTTGTCCCACAATTGTGAATAACCGTGCCGTACACCGATTCATGCGAACTCTAGATCTCTATCTGTAAAAGAACGAACTATTCCTCTAGTTTTGATAATGATATAGATGGCAAGTGCAACAACTACAGAATATTATTTTCTCAAGTTTATACTCAACAGACTGCTTACATACAGTCACCCAACTCAGTTAGCCGCAATGCGGCCATGGCGGCGACGCGGCTAAGCAAAGTTAGAGCAGCTTGTAGCATGGAAACGTTTCAATGCCTGTCTGCTAGGAGAACCCGTAAGTCGTTACCATTTTCTTATAAGCTTCGACGACTCTCTCTCTCTCTCCCCTCTCCTTCCCCCTCTCCCATTCTCTCCCCCTCTGCCATACTACCCTATTCTTCTTTGCGACTCTCAACTTACTTTTCTTCACTTGCTGTTTGTTTGACTTTGTCTTCAAACCATTTATTCATAGACACACAGTATGCAAATGATAACACAAATCGTACATTAAGGCGAAAAAATCGCTCGATTTTTTGTTGCCAGAAGTTCAGACTAACATAAGTGCAATTGAAATCAAAAGCGTGAGAGAGAAAATTTGAAACGACCATTAAAAGTCCTGTTAAGAGCGTCAAGCTGTACTAATTCTAATCGATAGCATTGCATTTTTTGTAAATCACGCGCAAGTGGCGTTGAAGTGAGACAGCAAATGCGCCTATACAAAATTTCAACCTGAAAGAACTTCTTTTCGAATGGAAAAGATGACTATTGTGCAATTCAAGGGTGAAGAAACAAGAAGGATCACCAGAGCTGGCACAACTGGGGCTGAGAAACTGATAATTCTTTCAGGTATAAAGAAAGGAATTTTTCCTTTTTTTCTAAATTTTTATTTTGCGGGGTCAGGAAAAAATTACTGAGAAAATCAGAATCGAAGTCTGCGTCAGAAGCTGTCCACCCAGACATTCTCATCGGTTTGAACAAGTCAAGCCAAAGCCATTACTTATAGGGCGTTCGAAAAATCATGACACTGGCCCGACCGCGCGCGACACGCACGCATTTTCGACAATTGCATTTTCTAGGTTTTCATCCCTACTCGAATGATTTTTCTGCTTAGCTATGATATCATTTAGACTCTGGAAGTGATTGCTCTGAGACTGAGGCGATGTCTTTAGGTATGAGGGTATTATGCTTTTGTGGGCGCAAAGGCCGCAGTCAAATCCGTCGTCACGATTTTATAAATGAACTATACATGCTCTAATATGATCTCGCACAGAGCGAAAATTCGAAGCCCCAAACAAACGCCGTATTTACAACGAACAAAGATGTGAACGACGAATGATATGACAACATTTGTATTTGGCCAGCACCTGTGCCTGGAAAATCTCGTGTCACTGAAGAACCCACAATCAATCACATAAAAGCCGTAAGCAATTTCCTCCCGGATTAGGTGGAAGTGTTCCATCTCGGTACCAGTTCAACTGGGTTCAACTCCCTTTTTCTCCCACGATTTTTCATCACTTTTCCTTTGATCGTAGCATGGTAAAAAAAATACTGCCACAGATTAGTCTCATAATTCTTGATCTATGCTTTCTCATACTTCTCAATCTTGGCTTTCTTACCCCAAAAAATTTACACTAATAACTTAATCATGCTCCAATCGCAAAACGCGCCCCTAAGCGAAGAAAAGCGCCGATCTTCCATCTCCCTAGGGATGGAAGATTCGCGGCTGATCAGCTGATGCTATCATTGACTTTCTGCTCAATGTTACAGTCCAGTTTACCTTCTGCTCCCTTTTCCACCAGCCAAATCGCAATCCCAAAGCATCGCGCCGCGTTCGCGCGCGCGTATAGCTTGCGATTCATAACTCACCTCATCGATTCGGGTCGCCGCGCTAGGCCCTTGCGTTGCGGACGCGTGCTACGGAAAAGGAAGACTCGGTTGACACCGACTGTAGGAAAATATGCTTGAGTTTAATCACTTCTAAACCTTGGCATCCTTATTGTAGAGATTCGTTCTGAGTGTAATTCCAGTTTGAATAGGAAGGGAAATGCCTCGCCATTAAGCATATATTCGCGCTTTATCAGTCTCTATGATTTTGATATGAAGTAAGATCACGGCATAGAAAATTTGTCTCACCCCCCCCCCCCCTCCCAAAAGAAATGTCCCCATAAATACCATCAACGTGGAAGCCTTTCGATGGTTTTAAAACGTTAACTCTGGCAAATTTTAGGCGTTTATGCAATGTTGACTCTTGAAACGATGGAAAGCCAACCACGCTGATGGTATCTATGAGAGCATTTCTAGGGAACAAACAATATAAGCTAAAGAGTAGGCTCATTATTGGGTCATCTCCCGTTTTCTGAAGGTGAGCATTGTAGCCGTGATTTTGGCGGTCCTCATCGGCTTTCTGCCAAAGAATAAAACTTTTGAGGGGAGGGGTGGGGGGGGGGGGGAGAAGTGCTCACAACTGCGACTTCAGGCACTGAAGAAAAGGCGAGAGACCGAGAGATAAGCCATTAAGAAAAACTATTATCAATTTTGGAGTACTCACAACAAAATTCTACAAATAGAGGGGAATGCATAACTTTTTCTTTGAGCTATGCTGAAATGATCAAATGATGGAGGCAGAAATTACGATAGTTGAAACATTTAGGCCAAGATCTAGAGCCAGCCTGATATTTACATGCAAACTTTTTTAACAGACATTTTTATTAGGTATTTTCAATGAGTTCTAATCTACAAAGTCATCTTTTTTTAACATCTCGGAATGGGGTAATGCTGCATGGAGTTGAGTTGGCCGTGCAGCCCAGCAGATTATGCAACGCTAGGCATCGTAATGTTTGTCTTGACAAAAAGTGAACCAGACAATAATGCGCTTTGCAGATACACGAAGTTGGAAGAATGTAGTCTATGATTGCCTAGGCGGAAAATACTCGAAGCGCAGGTCGTAGATGCCAGTGGCGCAAGGGGGGGGGGGGGTCGAGGTGTCCTCGACGGATGGCGAAATTTTTTTAGTGGTTCACATGATATTGTGCAGATAGATTTTTCATACCTGCAAAAATCAAGAAAAATTCAAAAAGTCTTTAAACTTATTATATAATATCAGGTACATAAAAATTTGAGTTTTTTGAAGTTTTGAATTAAAATTGAGTTTATATAGAGTTTAGGTTCCATTTTGAAAGCATCATGAGTTTTGCGGAGGGATGGCCAACTCCACTCTCCTTCAATCGGAGAAAAATTCTGAAGCCCTTTACACCTCTCCTCCCCCCCCCCCTCTTCCGATGACCATGGTAGGTGCATTTACCCCTATAACTTACTCGTGATTTCTGGGAAAGACGAAAACCAAAATGTCCTTGACAGAGAGCCAAACGCGGGAAACATAACCTCCATGTTCCTATCCTCGACGTATGGAAAATTGACAAAAAAAAAGCGCTGCAATCGAGTGGGCGGAGCAGAAATCAATGCGGCGCATGCGTCTTTGCACATTTAAGTGCGCCGAATGTGATAAAAAGTATATTCGTGATTCAAGTCGCTCAAAAACACTCGCGAGTTGGAGAGCACCACATTGTTCAGTGCAATCGTAGTGCGGATTTGTATGAAAGCTTATTTGAGACCTAAAAAATTGAATTTCAATCGGTGCTGGGTATCGCACCATATTAGAGTGCACTAAATGACATTCTTATAAAGGGTGAGGAGGAAAATAGGGGAGGCTTTCCATAAACCATGAAAACGAAGAAACGAAAACTGGTCCCCAGGCGTTTCTCAACTAAATTTACAACACAATCAGACAAAAGTGAAAGAAAACAACCCTGCTGAAGTTGATTCGTAGAGTGAGATTCTCTAAGTCTAGGAATGTGTAACGAGTTATCATCTTATATATAAAGCTGAATGTCTGTTTGTATGTCTGTCTGTATGTATGTATGTCTGTCTGTCTGTACGTATGTTCCGAATAGAAAATTCCATTTCTGAACCGATCCGGACCAAACTTGGCACACATACACTTCGGGCCCCGGCGCGTGTCATAGGCTACTTTTCGTCATCGATCGATATCGATTTTTATCGATTTTTTTGCTGAGTTCACCGGGGCTGGGAGTTGGCACAGGGGGGTAATCGAGCATGCTGATCATCCCCAAGGGGGGTGATCAGCATGCTCGATTACACCCCTGTGCCAAATTCCAGCCCCCTAGCTCAAATTTTGCAAAATCGATAAAATCGATAGAAGTAATGGATAATTCCAAAAACTAATATTGTATTCGTAATCTGCATGCTCGACTACCCCCCTGTGCAAACTCCCAGCCCCGCAGGTCAAACTTTACAAAAAAATCGATAAAATCGATAAAAGTAATGGACGATCCTGAAAACTAATATTGTGTTCGTAATCAGCATGCTCGATTACTCCCCTGTGCAAAATCCCAGCCTCGCATGTCAAAGTTTACAAAAAATCGATAAAATCAATAAAAGTAACCGATAATTCTGAAAACTAATATTGTATTCGGAATCCCCATGCTCACTTCCCCCCTGTGCCAACTCCTAGCCCTGTAGGTGAACTCTGCGAAAAAATCGATAAAAATCGGTAAAATCGACATCGATCGATAACGAAAAGTGGACTGTGACACGCGCCGGGGCCTGAAGTGTATGTGTGCCAAGTTTGGTCCGGATACGGCGGAGCCGGGTAAGCCAGCTAGTTACTCTATAAAGACGTACCTCCACTTTTGAACCCTTGAAATCAACATAGATCTCTATGAAATTCAATAAATGACAGGAATATAATTTTATACAAGTACTTCTGTTAACTTAGAGTAATAATAAAAACAATTCTGAAATATACTACCAGGAACGCAGCTGCCGCCACGCCCCCCCCCCCTTATATTTTCAGAAATTTGAAATACATCCGAAAAATATTCAGGGCTACTGCATGCTATTTCATTCAGATATAACTTCTACCTCTCTCCCTCCCAATAAATTTTTCGAACTGCCATTAACTACCAGTTTTGTTGTTTTGAAAAAAAAAAGCAAAAAATAATGTGCCGTAACTAGCTTCCTTGAAAAGGCAAACTCTGACATATAAAATTGTAGTAAAATGTGGTACATGAAAGAGGTCGAAGAATTTTGAGTAACGAGATTCTTTGCACATCGGCATAAACTTCGGCACTGGTTGATCAAGCAAATTGTATAGTGGGCGGAGTCCGTGGAATGCAATGGTATCGAATGACGTGATCGTATATTTAACTCCTGTATACAAAGACCATAGCTTAGCTAAACTTTATCAGAGTAACCGAACACAAGTAAATAATGGTAACCGCAGTACCTTAACACAGCAACCTCAAGACATGAGCATGCACAATTTGATCATTGTAGGAATCTTGATACCCGTAAGTAAAATGCAATGATGTCAGCTGCCCAAAAACAGTCTCACATAGACCAGATAAACTTTCAGCTAAAGTAAACATAGTCGCGACCCTCCTCCCATTGTGATTCTGCTACTAAGCGCTCCAGGTCGCCACCAGTCATATCCAGTTTCACACAGATTACCACCGGTGGGCGTGCAGACCTAAATAATGGGTGTGCACGATGGTTGACCGTATTAAAAGAATTGTAGTCTTATAGAGGGGTAATCAAAAATTTACGTATATGTCCCGCTACCTTGACTTTTAGGATATGGGTTAAAACCTAGTATCTGAATGATAACGGTTAATTTCATTTTTTTTTCGAAAACTGGAAGTCCGGAAACAATAAGTTTTAAATAAGAATACAAGCAAGAAACCTAGCAAATGATTATTAAGAAACGATCTTTCACGCACTTTTTACTGGTACACATAGAATTGATACCACCTAAGATAGATCTTAACCTAACCCACTGTAATCTGAAATTATCCAAATCAACTCTACTTCATGTGCATTATCTTTATATTTGAAACTAGTCATGGACGTCTTCATTGGTTTACATGACTCAAAATCCGTGGGCTGAGATCTAATTAGGTTTCCAATATTTTTGGACTTTCTAAAAGAGGAAGTGGATGATTTGGTGTTTGGGACTGGGCTATACTGAAATGGATGTTGAGAGCAGCTTTTGCATAGAATCCTTGAAGGAAAGGGGGGGGGGGAAGGCGCGACAGATATTCTCTCTCAAGCGTAAGGGCCGAGTGAAAGATTTTTTGAGATTCCGAAAATTTTGATGGCAAACCCCCAAATTTCAACAAAATCGGACTTGGAGGCACCAAGCACGGAAATTTTACGACGTGGTCAAGTAAAAAATATGATTGATAGAGAGAAAAACTATTATCAAAAGTTTGTCATGCAAAAGAGAATGATAGCACAACGACAGCAAGACTGACACAACCAAATATAGATCTGCATCAGAATCAAACAAAAAACATAAGCGTACAGGAGCGATAACGAACTTCTAATGGCTTGACGCGTGACAATCAGTGTTGATGAAGCAGCCTCAGCGCTCTGTGCAAACAACTAAGGCCCGTATGCACGTACATCCCCGCTGGGGAGGGGAGGGGAGCTGGATCCCCAGGGGAACGATCCCCTCCGCCGACCCCCGCCATGACAGAGGGGAGGGGAGCGATCCCCTCCCCTGCACCTAAGCAGGGATGGTGTGAATGGTTTCAGAGGTATTGATCGAGCGAACCCCAGTGCATACGGGGTTCGAATGAGGGACGGGATCCCTTCCCCTCCCCTACTCGAACCCCGTATGCGCGAATTTGACTCAACAACGCGGGGGAGGGGATCGACATCCCCTACAACGGAGTAGGGGTTCGATGATGTAGGTAAAGCTAGAGAAGCGAGTATTCTGATTTCAATCAATTATTGCAAAGCATTTCATTCAAATTGATGAAAGATTTTCTACGGGAGCCGGGTTTCTCTCTCAGCGACCTGTAGCTTGCAGTTTTAACTCTCTCTTCCATAATCGCTTCTTGTAAAGAAATCCGGACATATATTTGCCAGTTTCGAATATCTGTAGAAGTTTGAGACCATTCACGAGAGTTGAGCATTTTCTACTTGACATGATTGTTTTATCCATAAAGGCTGGTACAAAATATTGTAAATATCACATTATATGATAAACTTTCTTTATCTTATTATTCGAACGTAAAACTGCTTTGAATAAAATGAAAATTAGCAGAATCGCGTGTTTCTGAGTAGAGATCCTCGGGGGAGTGATCCCCTCCCTAGCGTTCCCCTTGTGCATAGCAGGGATGGCCGCTGGGGATCATTCCCCCGGGATAAAGGACGATATGCAGCTGATGCTATAGCGTTTATGGAGAGCTGGCACAATTTGCAGCTTCTGTCACGTGTTAAAATACCGCTTTGAGCGTCCGCGCGGCACCCCCCCCCCCCTTTTCGGCAGCATAACGTCTTCTGCCCATTCCCTAGCAGAGACACATCAACTTCTATAGTTCAACATTTTTACGCTGAAATGGGGCAGCATGAGCGAAAGTGGGCAGCATCCAAGAAAGCAGGAACATAATGGGAGTAGAAAAAATCATTTTTGGTGCTCCGAGCGCAGTCACTGCATACGCGCCTTCGCAACCCTAAATTATTGAAAGTGAAGAGATGAAGATGAGTTGCAGTCAAAATATGAAATAAGAAAGAGTTTTTCATAGAAAATTTGAGAGCAAGGTGATTTCCCCGCTCGATCCCCTCTTGTGCATAAGGGGGTTCACTTCCCCTCCCCACAGGGGATCCCTTGGCCGATATTGTCTTTATGCATACGGGGGTTCGCGCGGGGAGGGGAGGGGATCCCCAGCGGGGATCATTTCAATGGTTAAGCGCACATCCCCTCCCCGCGGGGATGTACGTGCATACGGGCCTAAAACATCGTAAACGCCAGCCGAAACATATCACTAGAAAGCAGCAGCGCGGGCGAAATACATTCAACCGTCGGAGTAGTCAAGTTTTGAAAAATTCAAACATGATAATGGAATCCCCTATTTGACGACAGTCCGAAGACAAGATTTTTGGTACAAGTTTCAACTAAGCTTTTTCTCATAATCTATTAGTGCTCAAATAGAAAGTATTAGGTTGTCCCGAAAGTTTTGTCGGTTTTTTCAAACCACTATGAAACCATGCACAGTAAAGACCTGGATGAGTTTCAAAGTGCATCCGATGCAGCTTTTTTTTCTCTTTCTTATGGTTACATCGAATCGCAATCCTGTATGCTTTTTTTTTTGATGAATGCCACAATTCTTCACCCGCCATTTTCATCTGCTCAAATTTAGGCTAATTTTTGAAAATTTCGTTTCAAAGTATCAGAGAAGGTTGAGTGTGAATCAAATAGTGCAGTTCCAGAACTTCACGAAGATATTTTTAGATTCTCCTAATTTGCTGTATTTAGCTTGAAAAAATTATTTCTTCGAAGGCCTTGATGTTTAGCAAAGTCATGAAACATGCAACTGCAGCAAAAGCAAGAAAACTTTTGTAGTTTCTGCAAATTCAAACTTGATTGTTAATGAACATCATTTATGCAGCTTAATCAAGTTTGATTTGTTTCAAAAACCAGCTTTTTGGAATTTTCGGTACTTTTACGTGGTAAATATAATCAAAAAGCTGCTGTTTTCATTAAATAAATAATCATAACGGACTTAATAAACGTGGCCCACGTAATCTAAAATAGCCACAATGTAGCCAAAGGTTTGCTCTACATAACAGTCACCAGCGCTCTTCGAAAATATCAGTATACTAGCTGGCTTACCCGGCTCCGCCGTATCCGGACCAAACTTGGCACACATACACTTCGGGCCCCGGCGGGTGTCACAGTCCACTTTTCGTTATCGATCGATGTCGATTTTACCGATTTTTATCGATTTTTTGCAGAGTTCACCTACAGGGCTAGGAGTTGGCACAGGGGGGTAATCGAGCATGGGGATTCCGAATACAACATTAGTTTTCAGGATCGTCCATTACTTTTATCGATTTTATCGATTTTTTTGTAAAGTTTGACCTGCGGGGCTGGGAGTTTGCACAGTGCCCCCCCTGTGCAAACTCCCAGCTCCGCAGGTCAAACTTTACAAAAAAATCGATAAAATCGATAAAAGTAATAGATAATCCTTAAAATTAATATTGTATTCGGAATCCCCATGCTCGATTACCCCCCTGTGCAAACTCCCAGCCCCGCAGGTCAAACTTTACAAAAAAAATCGATAAAATCGATAAAATCGATATCGATCGATGACGAAAAGTAGCCTATGACACCCGCCGGGGCCCGAAGTGTATGTGTGCCAAGTTTGGTCCGGATCGGTTCAGAAATGGAATTTTCTATTCGGAACATACATACACACATACAGACAGACAGACAGACAGACAGACAGACATGCAGACATACATACAAACAGACATTCAGCTTTATATATAAGACTAGCTGGCTTACCCGGCTCCGCCGTATCCGGACCAAACTTGGCACACATACACTTCGGGCTCCGGCGGGTGTCACAGTCCACTTTTCGTTATCGATCGATGTCGATTTTACCGATTTTTATCGATTTTTTCGCAGAGTTCACCTACAGGGCTAGGAGTTGGCACAGGGGGGAAGTGAGCATGGGGATTCCGAATACAATATTAGTTTTCAGAATTATCGATTGCTTTTATTGATTTTATCGATTTTTTGGCAGAGTTCACCTACAGGGCTAGGAGTTGGCACAGGGGGGAAGTGAGCATGGGGATTCCGAATACAATATTAGTTTTCAGGATCGTCCATTACTTTTATCGATTTTATCGATTTTTTTGCAAAGTTTGACCTGCGGGGCTGGGAGTTTGCACAGAGGGTAATCGAGCATGCAGATTACGAATACAATATTAGTTTTCAAGATCGTCCATTACTTTTATCGATTTTATCGATTTTTTGAAAATTTGAGCTAGGGGGCTGGAATTTGGCACAGGGGTGTTCGAGCATGCTGATCACCCCCCTTGGGGATGATCAGCATGCTCGATTACCCCCCTGTGCCAACTCCCAGCCCCCTAGCTCAAACTTTGCAAAAAAATCGATAAAATCGATAAAAGTAATCGATAATCCTGAAAACCAATATTGTATTCGGAATCCCCATGCTCGATTACCCCCCTGTGCGAACTCCCAGCCCCGTAGCTCAAACTTTGCAAAAAAATCGATAAAATCGATAAAAGTAATCGATAATCCTGAAAACCAATATTGTATTCGGAATCCCCATGCTCGATTACCCCCCTGTGCCAACTCCCAGCCCCGTAGCTCAAACTTTGCAAAAAAATCGATAAAATCGATAAAAGTAATCGATAATCCTGAAAACCAATATTGTATTCGGAATCCCCATGCTCGATTACCCCCCTGTGCCAACTCCCAGCCCCGTAGGTGAACTCAGCAAAAAAATCGATAAAAATCGATAAAATCGATATCGATCGATGACGAAAAGTAGCCTATGACACGCGCCGGGGCCCGAAGTGTATGTGTGCCAAGTTTGGTCCGGATCGGTTCAGAAATGGAATTTTCTATTCGGAACATACGTACACACAGACAGACATACAGACATACATACATACATACATACATACATACAAACAGACATTCAGCTTTATATATAAGAAGATAAATTTTAAAAATTCAAGAAAAATTTGGCGCTACTGCTGAGGTGCTCAAAAAGTCATGGCGATAACATCGCAAAGATGGGGTAGATCAGAAAACAAATACAGCTGTAAGAAAGAGGATAAAAATTTGAATAGAATGATACCTAGGTCGCTCATGGATTGGTGTTCTTTGAGTTTGAGCGATGAAAAAAACCGAAAAACTTTTTCGGGACATGAGACAGATATATTAAATCTCTCCAGGCGAATCAGCACGGGAACTTAAGAAAAAGATATTATTCAATGCTGAGAGGTGACTTATCAGTCAGAGGTTACGAGAACTTCTCTTCGCAGAGGGTGAAAGAGAAAGCAACAAGAAAATTTCGAATGAAGGGCGTAGCGCAGGGCGGACTCATGACCCCGAAAAATTTTTTGCAAAGCTGCTTTAACTTTCAAAAAATTCAAAAACTTATTTTGGTAGTCTTGAAACTAAGCGAAATCGTCTTCATAATACTGAACTTTTGAGGACCACTCAAACATTTCACAATCCATAGTCAGGATGCCTATGGGATACACTATTTAGACACAGTGAAAGAAAAATGAAGTCTGAATAATTCACTAGTGGAAAACCTAGCAGGGACCAGTTCTCGTCAAAGTCATAGTCCTATACACTACCCCAGCCTTCACAATGCAAAATTAATATAATTTAGTAAAACCTTAAAAGCAGTGGACAGGCAAAATGGACCCCTGTCAGATTTTGGTAGTTTCGGGTAGTGGACCCCCCAAGTACACCGTAGCCCCAACCCCAACTTCCAGTTAATGCGCTAAGTCCTGAAAAAAGCGCTTTAAACTTCCACCAACAACGCCCACTCAATGGAAGTGGGCGGGGCTGGTGGAGTTTTGAAGCGCTTTTTTCAGGACTTAGCGCATGATTGGAATGTGGGGTTGGGGCTACGATGTACTTGGGGGGTCCACTACCCGAAACTACCAAAATCTGACAGGGGTCTAATTTGCCTGTCCGCTGCCTTTAAAGGCAGTGGCTCGCCAAACCAAACATTCCTAAATTTTAATATGGAAAGTTGCGCATGCCAAACATCAGAACAGAGCAGGTTCGAGCAACCTACATGCTGCCCCTGCCTAGAAAACTGCATCTAATACCGTGCGCGCAAGTCATTCTTACACGCGCTCGGAGAGCTTGCGGTCCCCCTCCCACCGTCAGAGGCGGCCTGCCGCAATGCTGTGAACGTGAGGGTCCCGCAACGACTCTACGTCTCTAACCATTGCGGGGGTGGTCCACTCGTCCAGATTCAAAATGGGAACCCATGGAAAATGCTGGTCTCCGACATTTTCGTGCTCTTAGTGTATTTTCGAAATCAGCTCGTCGAATTACCCCAGGTAAGGGAAAAACTTCAGGTCGAGGATTTGCCGAGCCACTGTCTTTAAAGCACCGTCAACCCGAAATTTCGACCTCCACGTTGCCGTTCCAGGGCCTTCTCGTACCCCTGATTCCGAATATCAAGTCGGAAATCCGCGAAAACCACGAGAAACCCCCGTTTTTGTAACACGCAGAGCGACTTCGGAACGGTGATTGGTTGGCCGCGCAAGGATGGGCGGGACGAACGTCACGCCCACTCAAAGGGGAGGAGCCAACGTGACGATCATCCGAGCGATTTTCGAAGCAATTTTCTCGCTTCGGAAGCAACTTTTGCCAGCGCGAGTTGGATTAGTGTATAGGTGGGGGCCCCATTACTGTGAGGCATCAAAATCTCATGGACCCCATTTTGGATGGTCGGTGCCTTTGACCACAAATCACATCAGAAGCTAACTCACTTCACATGAACAATGGGTAGTTTCCACCGAACTACTCGTGCTTTTTCGTCATAATCCTCCAGCCATGCTCGTTTGATCTTCTTCACGTCGACATCGCAGAACGATACAACGCGTTGTTTATCACTTTCGGAAAGGGACCTCGAAAATGATTCACTTTTGGGCATGTAAGAGCGCAGAGTTCACCTCACTTGAAAAATCGCTTCCCCTGTTTGCCAGCATTCCAGATAGTAAATGTTTTCCAAAAAGGAAGTACATGACTGCAGAAGCGACTAACACGCATGTTCCATATAGCAGCTTCGGAAACTCCAAAAGAAGCACATCCTGGATGATAACGATATTTTACGAGGGGCTCGTATACCTGAAGACAAAAGCAATACGTATGCATGACGATTTGCAAATAACGTACTTTAGCGAATGCAACATCATCTACGTCTAATGCACGGTAGAAGAAATCGAGATCTTCGGGAAACCCACTTCGCAGGTCGTCTCTAAATCCGCCTACCACGAAAAAGAGTTTTCTTGAGATAAACCATGTTGGAGCTATGAGGGTTGGGCCATGCGACGTATACACCTAAAGAGTAAAAAAACACATTCAGCCTTGGAAGTCAACACCCATTTTCGTAGGATCATCGTACCTGCACTGTTAACTGCGCCGTTGTCAGCTCATTGGCCCATTTGGTGTAACGTTCTGTAGATCCTTCGGGTAATCTAGTGAAGTTGCTACCTGTAGAGACAACCAAACACGCAATAGGCAAACTGATGAAGCTACAGCATCTAACAAGAAAAAAATGAATCAAGGTAGTAATGGGAAGAATGGGTTTTATGCGAAATCTCGAGACTTTGCCGAAGTCACATATGAGATTGTGGTTATTGAAAGACCCTCAATCAAAACGCAGAAACTTGGAATCACATGAACTCACCAATAAAAACCAAATCACTCTTTCGAGAAATCGCCATGTTATACTGTTCTTGTAATCTGCTTAGCTCCGAAACATCATCCGCATCACAGAAACAGATAAAACGCCCGGTAGACATTTTTACAGCTTGGTTCTTCGCGAAGCCAACACCTAAACGGATGTGACTTGAGATAAAAGTCAATTCAATCAATGAAAATAATCAAAAACTGAGGTACCTCCACTTTCCGCTCCACTACGTATTCGAAGATCAATGTTCCGTTCTTGAAACTGTGGTATAAACGACTCGGCATATGTTATTGTCGAATCAGTGCTGCCATCGTTGTACATACAGATCTAGAAAATGCCAGAAGTAATTTACCACTGTTGATGCACGTATACTAATGGTGATCCCAAATTTTTGCGGAAAGGGAGGATTGAAAAATTCTCGGGCATGACGAGGTCGAGGAAATTTTGGTGCACTCCAAAACATTTGCGAGACGTCACCCTTTTTGAAACTGAGCGTGATAAAAGTGCTGAATTGTGAGGTTATCTTTCTGATTGCATATTAATGCGAAAATAGCGTTTGCAAAAGCGGCACGCGCCACGCCCCTTTTCGTAGAACTTTCTTTGTCCTTCTTTACTCGCTTCATTAATGGCTGAAAAACTCCAATGGGTTGTTTATTCTTTGTTATGTGCCTGTTTTTACGGCGTAAACGAACGTCTCAGAAGAAGGAAGAGAGCCTACCTCCCATTTTCCGTCGAAATTCTGCTGTAGCAATGACTCCAAGCATTCCTTCAGGTAAGGCATTCCATTCTTGACAGGAATTACTACCGACTAGAATGTGCAGTGATAAACGAAGTTTGTGGTCTATAGTTCATTACATGCGATTCTGCACTACACACTTTACAACAAAAAGTGAAAAAATCAGCAACAATGAGGATCAAACTGGGATTTGCCCATAAGATAAGACCTAAAACTTACGGGAGACAATCAAGAGGCGCGATTTCTTCGGCTGCCACCAACTTAAGACTCTAGCTTAGTGCTATGCGAGTCTTCAAAAATTACCAGATAAAGTGCATTAGCTTACTTTCTGTCTGAGTTCACCGTTTCCTGAGTTTCATGGTTTTTGCTTTGAATCGGACTGAAATATTTACGAATTTGTAATGAAATGCATTTTCATGAGCTTTTGACCTTTAAAATTGCTGTTTTGAATTTATTTCTAGAGTAGCAAGATTGAACAACTCATGCAACTATCTTAAACATCTCCTTCTAAATTTCATATACTTTTAGAAAGTTGCAGAACACTTATTATGTGCTATTTGGTGTCCAGCTGGCAGTAGAAATCGCGCCTCTTGACATACACCCAAAACTTACTACGTCCATAACATGCTGGAATAAATCCAGGCAGCTCTGGGCGATAGAGATCCTGATCCAATTATCCTCGAAGTCTTTTGTTGATAGAATTTCCAGAAATTAGAATCTGGAGATGTAAGCTGCAAAAAAAGTTTATACTTTATCGCTATAACTCGATTGATAAAACAGTAAACGACTTTAGCCCACCTCAATGTAAAATCTTTTAACATAGCGCACAACATAAAAACCGTAACCGTAAAACGCGCCATGGTCCGTAACCGAAATAAACGACGTCTGACCCTGCTACGGTGACTTTGCGGTCATCACGTAATTCTTCAAGACTCTCGCCAATGTTACGTTCTTTGGTCACTTATCCGCTAAGGTCTGGACGTTCCTTGGTAGCTTCTTATCTCAGCAGTGTTCGGCAGAGAGTTTCGCTTCATTCTGGATCTGGTCCTGTGGGCAAGACCGAGCCAAAACTTTCAATCCAGTACACCTGCGGCGTTTGCGGCACTCGCCAGGTTAGTTTTCACTGTTATTTCTGATTTTCAAGCTTCTTTGTTCTTTTCCTTTTTATTTCATACCTTCCTATATAAGTTTGAAGCCACGTTTGTTCACCCTGGCATACTATAGGAGTAGTGTAGGGTTACTGTAGCATTCGCTGCGCGCATCATAGTATGCTCGTGCACACTTACAGTTATTTTCAGTGTGTATTCCTATAAACGGCATGACTGTGATGTGAGCAGTCATGAACATTTTTTTGTCTTTTCGAAGTCAAATGTTCACTTTTAGGGCCCAAAAACATTTTCTCGTACCTCATACGAAAAGGGAGTGGTCATTGTAACCTGTGACCATTGCAAGAACCACCACATCATTGCCGATAATCTAGGGTGGTTTCAGGATTTCAAGGTGCTACAAAAGAAATATATTTGTTACTCCTTTCACTAGAAGTTTCTTCCAGGGTAAAAATATCGAGGAGATTCTACAAAAACGTGGAATCACTGTTAAAAGAGGGATTACAGTGGAACCGGATGCTAAACCTGTAGAGGAGGGCAAGGTTCGATCTCCTGCGCTTTTATTTGCTGTCTCAAGGGCAGTGTCTCGGCAGAATTTCATTTTCCAGTTTTTCACCTTTTCGGAGCCTTCTCCCCATAAAATACCTTATCTATTGAATGCATGAAAATGGCAAAAATGAGCTTCTTCTGAAGCTTTCCAGGCCCGTATTCAGCGAAAATACGACGGCAACTTTTCGCACCCCGCCTCCGTCATTCCGGGCTTCGCCCACTAGCGCGTGTTCTCCACTGATTGCGCTGGAAAGCTTCAGAAGAAGCTCATTTTCGCCATTTTCATGCGCTGGAAACCCATATATGTTTTTTTTATGCCGAGAAGGGTCCGAAAAGGTGAAAATCCGGAAAACGGAATTCTGCCGAGACACTGCCTTTGATTCTAGAAATCTTCTTCGGATTTGACCGCGCACGTTTGTTTGTGAACTTTACTCTTATGTCGATGTCTTCAGGGGAAAGATGAGTAGTAGCTTATATGCCGGCCATGTACCTCTTTCGTCTGCCTCCCGATTTTTGCTGGGTGTAGGCTCTGCAGCTATGGCGATCACTGATCCACGCAGGGGAGACATGGTTGCAGCAATGGGTGAGGCTACTGCGTTTGAGTCTGTGCTTGAAAGAATTCGGTTTGTTGCTTTTTTGGAATAATCTCACTTGCTGATACGTTTCTTTGCAGCCAACGCATGGCCAGTGATGTTTTGGGGGCTCGTCTCTTGGAAGAACGTCCACGAGTTACGAATGTTACTGTGAATCGTGAATATCTCAATTCTTTGCCTGACAATACCTTTGGAAAAGCTTATGCCAAGTAAGGTTGCATTTTCCTCCATGTTATCCGTGCTACCGTTCACGTTAAATTTTTAGATTCCTTGATGGCTTACATACTTCTCCCGATGCAAGACCTCCTGTGAGATTTGTTCAAAACAAGGATCATCTCTACGTGATGCAGCGTTACCGTGAAACGCATGATTTCAATCATGTTCTCCTGCAAATGCCTACTCATATGCTTGGCGAGGTGCGTTTTAATATTGTTAATATTGAAGCTCTTCCGAACTCTTGAAGGCAGTGTCTCGGCGAAGTTTTGTTTCCCAGCGTTTCATCTTTTTAGCCTTCTCGCCATGAGGAAGTTATATCTAGGCTTTTCAGCGCACGAAAATGGCGAAATTGAGCTTTTTACGAAGCTTTCCATGTTCGTATCCAGTGGAAGAGACGTGTAAATGGGCGGAGTTCAAAACGAGGGAGGCGGGGCGCGGCCATTTCCGGCGTATCTGTACTGAATGCGGTTCTGAAAGCTTCGAAAAAGGCTCATTTCCGCTATTTTTATGCGCTGAAAAGTCCAGGTATGGGTTTCCCATGGCGAAAAGGCTCCGAATTAAAAAGTGAACAGCAAACTTTTGCCAAGACGCTGCCTTTAACTATAACATTATGCGTTCTTCGCTGAGTTCTCAATACTTAGGTCACCGTGAAGTATTTCGAAGGAATCCAATTTGGACTACCGATGTGTGTAACAGCTGGCATATTTGGAGCTGGGAGATTGCGTACAAAGTAAGTGCTGGCGTCTCCTTATTTTTTCGAAAGAGCATTTTTAAATAGAAAATACTGCCGAATTGATAACTTGACTTTGAATATCTCGGCTGAATCCTCTATTCGCTTGCCTGCTGTGCACTAATTCTTTTTTATCATTGGTATGTGCGAAAATGGCGTAACCTTCTCCCAAATTTCATATTTGCTTTTGAAACTCGCATCAGGTTGACTTTCAGTTTTTTTCTTTCTTTATTGTAAAACCGTTGCAGGCATCGTCACAGATTTCTTACGAAGTATCTGCCATGGATCATCGAACAAGCAACAAAAGCACGGTTTTTCATGGCCATAGATTGGGAGAATCATTGGGAGGAGACAATAGCAGATTTACAAAAGAAATTTGATGTGACTCCGCTTGACTCCTTTGAGAGCTCTAAGCTTCGATCTGTTTAGGGGCCCGATGGCAGCGTTACTTATCTTTCACACATGGTTGTTGTATCTTCACTAATTACTCAGATAATCTGTGATGTTTTGATTACTGGTGTAGAGGTTTTTCATCCTTGTTCTGCCTCTTGTCATTTGTTTGCATAGACTTTAGATGCTCAAATAAATGTAATCGAAATTGAATTCTACTTAGAAATTATGTAATTTGACTAGTCATCGGTTCGGAGCTGTGTACTCCTTTCTTTGACGCTGCAGTTCTTTCAGCTTTGCGCTAAGCAACCATACACGGGCTCATCCTTCAAAAAGCAGCATAAAGCCATTGCGAACGGTCCCAAAGTTTACGAAATGCGACTTTTGAAAACAAGTTGGGTGAACATTGTTTTAAAATACAAGTGGTTGAGGATGAATCTCGCGTCTACTTTGGCATAGACATGATGAGTAAAGAAGTCAGGTGGAACGGCTCATATTGTGTCACAGAACTGATGATTTAACCGAATTCGAGTCTAGGGATTTGTAATTTCAAAAAAAAATCATATTTGATGATGAGAGAAAAATTACATATTATGTAAAGGTCTAGTAATCTAGCATGTGCATTCTTATGCAAGTAAGGACCACTCTGGAGTTTTATTTTTTTAGACGTTTACCTTGGCAAAACAGAGCTTAGTTGAAGAAGGGTCTTATCTATATTTCTTGCTCATTGTAGAAAAATTTTTTAGTCGAAACTGCTCAATTTCATGCTTCTTTTTGATGATTTGCCTCCTAAGCTATGGTAATCTATCTTTGAGCCCTACTATAAAGCCTTAAAGGAAGGCGAAGTCACGGGGCAATATGATGATTTTTTGAGCCCCACAGACGAAGTCTGTAAATAATCGAAATTTGCTAGATGTTTATATGCAACATCGGTAAAATTAGAGCAGAATGTAAATCAAAGTCTTGGTCGTATTCTTGCAAATGTAACCTTTGATTCAACTGGCTTGGCGGCTGAAAGGCGGGCTTTGTGACCTAATCAAGGCCGCTCGCTGCTGCGGCGCAGTCAGCGTCTCTCCCGCGCGCGTGCTCTGACCACTACCTGGCCCCACTTGAACTGTTGCGCCCACGCTACTGTGATGTCACATGAATTGGGAGACTATGCGTCGCTTTTTCAAGGATTATGAGTGGTTGTACATTAGCCACTCTTAAGCACACCTTCGCGTTTTTTTTTTCATGTTTAGAAGTCGGAAAAACGAATTTGACATGCTCTGAAAAAGCAGTCCCAAGCTTTTTCCATTTAGATGATTTCATGGTATGAACTTTCAGCTTTTTGAGGGTCTAATATCGAGAAAACAAATTTAGCACAAAAAGAACAACATCGTATTCGAAATTTTTGTTCCTGTATTCTAGCCATGAGAAAAATCCAACAACTGTACTTTTGAATCTCTAATGTAAGGAGCGAACGTTTCGATTACGGCTTCTGAAAGCCAGCACTCAGTGCATCGTTGATCGATGGTTGCTCAGTAGTTCCGACGTTTGTGCGGCATTTTTGGTAAATCGACAGCTTTCGTACTAATTATCGAGTGATGATGCTTCTTTATAATACATACAGTGTGCCTCCAAAAAAGGAACGCTTTGTTATATATTGTTAGGTTGTTGCAAGAATAATGTCCTTTCGCAAAGTTTTACTTCGAAACGCTATAACTTTGTTGAGTCCTCATATTTCTGAATATATTCATGACCTTTAGAACCAGCAATAGTATACGTTTGTATAGAAAAAACTCCAGCGAAGGGGGCCTGCGAAAAGAAAAGAAATAAATCCAAAATTGTTCATTTTTATGAGCCTGTTTGTGATAGGCCAGAAGGTCCCAAACTATATTGGAATTCTTGCACTGAATATATTCAAAGCACTGAATAGCTAAGTTTTTCTGAAAATTGTAAGCAAGATGTCCTGACCTCAAGTAAACAGAAACGAGCGAAACTTCGGCGATTGTCTTAGTGAAGAAAAATTTTCAAACCATAGAGTGCCACAGCGAGTATCTATTTTAAGGCGTTGATTCTTTAGTCCGGATATATTCGAGAAAATCATCTAAACATGCAACAATAGGTAAACATATTCATTCCATATAATAGCTATGTTTTCAAAGGAATTCGTTCATTTGCGCCTGAAGTGTGGCCAAGGAAGTTAAAGCAACGCAATCTCGATTTTACTTATTTGTTTATTTAATACGCACAAGGCATGCCCATACAACAGAAAAACGAAGCATCACAGCAAACAACCAGCAACAAAAAAATAAAACAAAAAAAGCAAACTCCTCACTGAATCAGTTCAAGTCCAGTCCGCAAAATCTTTCTGGGAATGGAAAGGGAGTGAGCTTGTTTAGACATATATGAAGTCATCACAGGTATAGAGGTTCAATGGAGTCTGTCTCATGATTTTGATTTTGAGTGCAGCTGTGCGAGATGTTGGCGAAATTATCACAGATGAGACAGGCTCAATTTTACCACTATTAGAAAGTACACAAAGAAAATGATATGCAAAATCTATATCGAAAAAGGTTTTTTGAAGGAGAAAAGTTGTTTAGAAAGTAAGCCTAGAAAAACGGACATTATTTTTGCAACAGTCTAATAATATGTATTTTTGCAACAGTCTAATAATATGCATTTTTGCAACAGTCTAATAATATGTAACTCTATTGCTCCGATGTCTTTCGCAGGTCCTTAGGTATCAGTCTACAGAGTTGGCTTTGACTCTAGTCTACAATATAGAGCGAATCATCCATTTCTCTTCACTACAGCGATGTTGGGTTATACTGATCTCTGTAAGTTCCGGAACTGTTTCAGTTCAGCGCACGATTGGAGCGCTGTGCTGGAACTGTTTCGGAACTTATGAGTATGAAGCCAGCCTAAGATAGCTAGGAAACTTGCAGAGAGTTTTGAGCCATGAGAGGCACCGGTATGCCTGAAAAAGGAAATCGAAAAAGTTGAAAACTCTTACATTGAGCTGACCAAAATTGCTAAATGTGAATTTGAAACTCGCATTTTGCCATGATCCTCCTTTCAAAAGTTACATGAGTCCAGTAACAACTTTTTTCAATGTCTCAAAAATCGTGATTGCAGCACGGAAAAGTTTAGAAACTAGTAAAAAGGTGTGTAGCGAGAAGCATGGATGAAATCTTGGATACACAACATAATTTTTCAGGCTTTTAGGAATTTTCTTGAGGCCAACTTCACATGGTGATACGCTGGGGGTTCCTGCTGTAATCGTGATAATGAGTAGCGATTGATAATTGGTAATTTGCTTTATTGTGTAAAACTAAGGCAAAGCCGTTTCCGCAAATAGCTGCCTAAGGAAGGGCATGGCTTCATGGCAAGAAATGTCAACGATCCAACAGTGTGCACATTCTTTAGGATACCTGTAGGCATTTATATACAACCATGATGTCATGAAACATACATGTTTGGATGCAATTCTTTATATTACTTGAGTTATGCTCTTAAAATGAGTGTTCGCATTGCTTATACTCATGTCTATTTTTGACACAAGCAGTACAATTATAGAACGATGAAGGCTTAAAGGCAGCGTCCGGGCAAAACTTCCACTGGAGTTTTTTCGCTTACCTGGGCTTATTCCTCTCGCTGGTTCTAATGGAGCTTGGAGGGCACGAAAACGTCGAAAACGGGCTTTTCCAGAAGCTCTTGATTTGAATTTTGTCGCATGCCGCCAATGTTGAGACGCAGAGTCTTTGTGTGACCCTACATCTTGATTGTGTGCGGTATGCGCACTCTGGCTTATCGAACTAACTCGTCCCGGTCGCGGGGCGTTCCGGTCGCCGCTTCTGAAGCGGTTTACTCGCTTCAGAAGCAAGTTAGTGCACTGCAAGTTGGGCAGGAGCTTTACCAGGATTGGAGCCCCTACGCGCTAAAATTTTATCTGCCCGGACGCTGCCTTTAACTTAAGTTTTCCCTTTTGGTAAAAAGTGGACGACGAAAAAAGGCATTCGGAAATAAATCAGTCTAGGCGAGCTTGTTTTCTGCTTCTAATGCCATCTCGAAAATCTACTTCATTTTTACATTATTGCCATCTGTTCCAGAATTTGCCCATTCGACGCAAGACTTTATTATGAGCATGTTCTACACGCATCCGCGATGCAAAATTTTTTTTAGAGATAATAGTTCAAGCCAGTGACGTTTCGCCAGCGAGCAGCAGCAGTCAAGTTTATTAGCGCCAAAGCATCTGCTTCTTGGACTAATAACTGCTTATCTAAAAATGGTATAGCTTAGGAAATACTTCAAAGCATTCAGTTAATGACAGTGAGCAGAAGAACTGCTTTAACTTACCAGTCAGACTCTGCCCTGCATCTGTTATCACAAGAGTCCAGTTTGTACTGCTCCATCCAAGGAATGTGAAGTTACCCTCCCACATATCGTCGGCAAAGTACTTCTGGATAAAAACTTCTGATGAAACATTACCCATGTTGGACACTGCTCACCAATAGAGTATCTGTCGAGATAGTCTAGCATGTAATACAGGGTGTCCGTAAAGTATGTATACACTGTTTGATCGTAAATATCTCTCTTCCCAAGAAGTCTTTTGCCTTGCTTCAGGTACCGTTTTGTAGAGCTGGCTTCAACTTAGATTTGCAGTATAAAACGAATCACCCATCTCTTTTCATTACTGTAGGATTACGGTAGAAACTTCGAAGAGGGTTTTGAGCCATGAAAGGCCATATTTTGCCTCCAAAGGAAACAAAACAGCCTGAAAGCTTTTACACTAGGCTAATCAGAGTTGTTGATAACCGTAAAGTTCCCAACTTATTATGATGCTCCAATGAAAAGTTATGCCGGGTAAGAGGTAGCGGCCATTTTTTCAATGTTCCTAAAAAGTGCAGTTACACCGTTGAGAAAGCTTCGCAATCTTGCGAATAGTTGAGTATTGAACACAGCGTCCATAAAAACCCTATTACACAAGTTTTCACATTTTTTTTGAAAAATTTTGAGACGGCAGCTTTTTTCCACATTGACACTATATGTTTCAAGTTTCTACCGTAATCCTACAGTAATGAAGAGCGATCGGTGATTCGCTCCATACTGTAAAACTAAGTTGAATCCAGCTCTATAAAACGGTACCTGAAGCAAGGCAAAAGACTTGTTGGGAAGAAAGATATTAACGTTCAAACAGTGTATACATACTTTACGGACACCCTGTATAATTCACTCAAATTTTGGTCATATCGTCACTTACCAACACGGGGATACCCTTGCTATCTGGCGATAAACTTCGTGCATTAGCGGGCATACGCGGCTCCGACTGGCTCTGTCAATGGGACTATGGTAAAGGGCACCCATCCCTATTTCAGTACAAGTCTGTGTCCCACTTCTATATACCAATTCCCTGCCGCATCAAGTTTTTAACCAGCATGCTCACTTACCCTCCCCCCCCTTCTGTCAACTCTCAGGCCCGTAGCACAAAGTTTGTAAAAAATCGATCATAGCCATGGAGGCAATAGATTTTTATAATCATTCATATCGTAATCAGTATGCTTAATTAGCCTTTTTGCCAACTCCCAGCCCCGTAGCTCAAAGCTTGCCAGAAATCGATAAAATCGATACCGATCAATAACGAAAAGTATCTAAACGGCTGGTTTTTTGGGATCCGGTTTAATATGAGAGGATTTGCCATGACCAAGAACACTATGTTTACCTCCAAATCTATCCACTAGCCTATACTTTTATGATCTTTGAAAGCAAATGCTTTGAGCCAATTTCTAAAATCGACCCAGCTATACTTCTAGAGTAAAGAAAGTCTTGAACAAAGTGATAGCAGTAACATCCATTTTCTCTTCTGTGCATAGCAGAATGTTCAAAATACATTATGCAACATATGCGAAGATAGATGGAGTAAGAAAGGGATTTGATTTGGATTTGGTGCAAAAATGGATTATTCATAGTTTAGCGAAGGTCAAATAGAGGAACGTAAAAGGTGATAAATGAAGAGCTTTCAACACTTAACATGGATGCGGTGCAAAATCAGTGAATATGAATTTATAGTCAGAAAGTTGACAAATCAAAAGGCTATATAAGTATTTAGAAGAAACGTCTTATGTCAAAGAATACCTTGACAATAATAGCTTTAAAAACTTTCTACGGTAATGAGAATCTATTAGATTCAAGATTAGTCGTTATAATCATGAGAAAACAAATTCCTCATAGAACTCACATTTTTTTAGGCCTTTGTTTTCCTGGCTGTCCAGCATAAGAAATTCAACATGCTACTTCTCATGTCATTATGTCAAAGGCACTCATGCCATTTTCAGAAACCGAATTTTTCGCTACACCCGGAAGAGAAAGATCATAAAGGAAATTTCTTCCATAAGAAAATTGTCTCCTCATAATGATAATGACTGCTCATATGAACTTGAAGTCAACACTGTAGGAAGCTTTCACTTTTGAAGTTTGACCTGAGATTTTAACAATTTCTTCAAGAATTTTTGATTTGACAGCTACCTTCCAGCTACCAATATACACCCATTAATTTATCCAAAATTAAGTTCTAGAAGTTCGCCTTTCAATCGATTCCTTTTCGCATATGTTGCGTAATGGTGATTGCCCAGATGATCTGCATACAAATTTCAAATCTTACCACGTAGTGACCATCAGCTTGCACCTCTTGGAGATTACCCGTAAGCGCGCTCCATCCTACACTAAAAGGTCCGTTGTTCTCTATATCTTTTCTCAATGAATTAGCACCGTCCGCTGAATGTCATAGGTTGTTTCACTTCTGCAGCTCATAATAACTCACCAGCTCCCATAGATGGTATGTATATATCTGAATAGTTTCTTCCGCAAACAGGATATCTGTAATTGCCTCGCATTATCTAACAAATGGCTATGACAGAAGCGTAGCGTTGTGTCTTACTCAGTGTACAACTTATAGCATTCGTAGATGTAACTTCCAGACAAAGGCAACTGAAAATGTTGTTTCATAATGCTCCATGCTCAAAATCTGATTTACTCACTGGTAGGGTAGTTCTAGATTTGCCTGTTCTGTTTCCGAGTATTTCGGTGTAGCTATTGTTTAAGTGCCAGCATCCACCTGTAGCAAGAAGCTTCAAAAAAGCATTTTCTCAGGTAGGAACTTACCCACTTTGGGTGGAACTGTCGCATTTGCTAGGCTTCCGTTGTAACTTGAAAAAAAGTCCACTTACATTCTTTGCCATTCAATTTTCTACATTACATAAAGTTTTTAGCACTCACGATTCTGAATAGTTTTTGTAGGTGCCATTGATAGGTCGCAGTACTGCGTAGACCCAAAAACATAGCATTGTGGTGTTTTTGTCCACCCTCGGAGGGAGTATTATCTTGAATAAGTGCAGTAGTAAAAATCACTTGTTATAGGATCAAGGTAGTGGCAATTTTACAATATGAACTGTTGATTATAACTGTTTTGACAGTTTCAGCTCTGCTCAGTGAAGTTGTTGAAAGTTTTCATTTCAAGACTGCGTTATTCTTATTTTTGAACATTTAGCTCAAGAGTGAGCTTGCTTCTCAAGTCTTGTGTAAGCCTCAATTCTCTTACACCTCCATTAACAGTATACAATGAGAGTGATTGGCATCCTGGTTCTGTCAAAACTCTTAAGCTAAAGGCTATAAAGGTGTATCAGCCGCCCATATCACCCACATCGTAAAATTGGTAACATCAGCTCCCGGTTTTCTCAGTAGAAAACATGTCGGGACAAAAGCGCGTGTCGCGCAGCATTGGCCCGAACGAAAACCGGGAGTCTGGTTTTTTCGCGAACCATTTTACTTGTGTTCCGCAGTCATTCTGGCGGGACACAACTTTTTCAAAGGCGGGACTTAACTGCGAATGTCTGAGTTCAACACACTTAACACGCGCTTGCGTATTTCAACACATCTGTTGCAGCAGCAAAACGCACAGTGCCTGTCGTGATCTCTCGTTTAGGCGCTGGAGCTCCTGAGGCTGGCGTCTATCCAAAACAAACGTTCATGCCATACATGTGGGCAGGCCGATCTAGCCGTCGCGTTTTTTAGGATCAGGTTTATATTGTAGGAGAAGGATAATATCAAGGGGTAGAGACGCTTTTATCTATACCTATTTCTTTTCCGCGCGCATTCAGTAGCACTCAGTTGAAGTTCTTCCGCGTAGAGGCCAGTGGCTCTGAGAACGAAATCTGGAAGATGTATTAGGTCGTTTCAAAAGTAATTTCGCTTTTTTCAAACGGGCACCAGATTTGAAGGAACAAAGCTTTCTAAGAGATCTTAGAAGCATTCGATGCAAAATTTCATTCTCTTTCTAAAGGTTATGATAATGTTGCAAAACAGTCAATAAGCTTTCAGAAAATAACCAAAATTTGCGACCCATGCTTTTTTAGATGGTCAAGTTTCACGATTTTTTAAAACTTTCAAAACAATCCTCAGAAGGAGTTCAAGTAAAGATTCGGTAGAGTAAACCTTACAAATACACTACTACTTTTTTCTTTTTCTCGTAGCTCGCCGTAGTTTTTTAAAAGATTTTTTAGCAGAACCATCGGATTTTAGCAGGCCCACCTCAACCACAGTCGCATCAAACATCAGTAATTACTCGGAATTTCAAGCTTTCAAGATGATATATGACTTAATATTGATTTTATAAAGCAAATGAGAGTTTATGGGTTCGAAATATCAAATTTCGAATTTTTTCGGGTACAGCCTGGGGCTCGCTAAAGAAATGAGTTATGATGATTTCTCCCGGAAAGTAAACGAATCGGAAACAAAAAACACCTGTTGGAAAGAGGAGAAAATGCTGCATCGAATAGTGCGCGAGCTGCTCTTCTTTTGATGTTCTATGAGGATTTAGCTGCCCAAGTATAGAAATCGGTAGCATCAGTTAAAATTCTGTTAAAAATGTAGGACAAGCTATGGAAAGGAGAAAAAAGTAGTTTCGCATTCTGTAGGGTTTGCTCTATAAAGGCGTCACTTGTACTTTTTCGGAGGGTTGATATAAAAGTTTTAAAAAATTGTGAAACTTGACTATCTCAAAAAGCACAGGTCGCAGATTTTGGTTATTTTCTGAAAGCTCATTGGCAGTTTTGCAACAATTTCATAACCATTAGAAAGAGAATGAAATTCTGCATCGAATGCTTCTAAGATCTCTTAGAAAGCTTTGTTCCTTCAAATCTGGTGCCCGTTTGAAAAAAGCGAAATTACTTTTGAAACGACCTAATATTTTAGATTTTTTAGAAAGACCATCAATCACCCACTTATCAAAAGTGTAACCAGACTTTTGGGTAGGTCCTGCAGATGGGGAAATCTTCTCTTCTTACCGGATTGTCTGCATGCAAACATCCGAATTTCTTGTTTTGGCTCACAGGTCTAAGTGTGCAGCTCTCGATCAGGATAGACTCGAAATTTTAGTTTCACTTACATTCAAAAAATACAATCTATAAAAATCCATCACCGTTCCGTCCCGTTGAAATCCGTTGAACTTCTAGGACTTCGTCACATTCTTTCTTTCAAATTGATGTCCTTCCGGTAATGTGACTTCGTTGCCTTTTGTTATGTGATATGACGTTTTCCGTAATTGCTTACCATGTTCTTGCTGATTGGAGAGAATTGTGTCTATCTAAAAAACTGCATTTCACCCTCCGTTTTGGATCTGCCTGACTTACAGTGGGACTTAGTCCAGCTATGATATTGCTTTGTTCTTTTATGATTCCAGCTAGGGTCCTCACAACTGAGTCTGAGGATGGTCTCATTAAGTCGATAGCGCTTTGCATATTTTATTGTGTTATATTGTTATATTGTTATTGTGTTATTTTATTTTATTTTATTGTGTTAGTTTCGTATAAGAACTACTGCCAAAATCAAAGAGTGCAGAATATTTTGTTTGTAGTTTATGTCCCAAAAAGCTTTGCAGTGTGATACTAATCTACCTATTACCTATCTAGCAAAAACCTAGTCTACCATGTACATCTTTCATATCTTAGTGAACTAGAAGACGCTGTTACTCATTTTTAAATCTTCCTATTTGAAATGTTTATGCCATCTTCCCACAGGTGTCATGTAATGAGCTACATTGGGAAGGTGCATTACACCAAACTCTCGAAACCCGAATACTGAAAAAACATACGTTGTGCTCACGTAATTGCACCCGATAGCCCCAACTGAGCGATGCTATGTGATCTTGCACACTATCCCTGAGCAGTTTCCAGTTGTGAGTGATTTCACCTTCAGGGTTTTTTTCAGCCATACATCTTTGCATCCTCTCAAAAGATTACAAATCTAAGAAACGTACAAAGTCTCAGATTAGAAGGCACTACAAAGTGTCATGCAACTCATGATTCTAATGTTCCTAATGCCAGGGAGGCGGTCGATTGATACCCGACCAGCCGCTTGCAGCCGCGCCGGGTGGTAATTAGCGAGGTGCGACGCAGCGTTAATTGCGCTGCGCTACGCTGCAGTCCCTCTCGCCTTCTAAATCTCTCTCCATTACAATCTCTCTCCATTACAATCTCTCGTCATCGCGTTCTGAGGTGCAAGAAGAGGAGCGAGAAGACCTAGACCGCACTTCACACTTCAGATGGCCGATAACAAATGAAACCACAATTACTATGAAATTTTTTATAATCATTTCACTGGACAATGTATGAATTCAAGACTACATGCAAAAAATCAGAAAATAGTTCCAAAATAAATCAAAACCTGTTTCGGATGGCTCTAATTTAGCCAAAACAACGAAAACATGCAAATTATATAGTTTTTTCGGTTACAAACTTAGATATTGCCATGCAGTATGAGTTGATAGTCGCTGTGCCTTGTGATTTCCTGAGCGATACTCTTCTTTGAAGCTTTCCATAGCGGCAGCTATTCTTTGGCGGCAACGGAACGTGACTCAAATGGCATGGGTCTTGTTGAAAAACATTTTCGATGATCTGAATCAACTTTCAAACAATATCGTATTGAGATAATACTTACTGGCTTACCATGACGGAGGTGTGTTTTCCACACCTCCAGAGGCCCGAAGGCGGCCTAGGCTGCTCTTCTTCTCCCGATGAGTTCTTCCCTCAAGTCGTTCTCCATGTTCATCAAACGTCCGAGATACACGTAAGAGGACGTCTCCATAATAGGGGTGCCTTCCAACTACATTTCTGCATCTTCGCAGAGGGCGTTCTTTATGAAGTGAGTCTTCATCCGATTTATTCGCAGTCCTATCTTTTTCCCTATTTCGTTTGGTTCCTTCAGCAACGTCTCTGCTTCAGTGATACTGCTCGAGAAGAGGACGATGTAATCCGCAAAACGAAGGTTGGATAGGAATCTCCCATCAACTGAATGCCTCTCTCGTCCCAGTCCAGTAACTTCATCACCCACTGCAAGGCCGCGTGAACAGCTTCGGCGAAATAGTGTCGCCTTGTCGGACCCCCTTCCCAATTGGAATGGTCAGGAGGAGATGGAATAGCTGCATCGTTGTTGTACAGTCCTTGTAGCAGTCGGTTAGTGTCCTCACGTAAGCTGGGTCCACTCCTTGATCGACTAGCGCAGACAGGATGGCGCTGGTTTCGACGCTTTTGAAAGCTTTCTCGTAGTCGACGAAGGTTAGGACGAGAGGCAGTTGGTACTCCCGGCAGACTTCTATGACCTTCGAAACGGTCTGGATGTGGTCCATGCAGCTGAATCCTTTGCGAAATCCAGCTTCTTCTTGGGGTTGGGTTTCATCCAGTGTCCTTGATATGCTTGCGAGGATAATCTTCGTGAAAAGCTTGTACAGCACACTCAACAGGCATATTGGACGGTAGTTTCGAAGATCCTCTCGTTCACCCTTCTTGAAAAGAAGGACGGTTCTTGACGTTCTTCACTGATCCGGAAATCCTCTCCTTCT